TTAATGACTTTGATGAAGCCACTTACATTGAGTTACAAAACGTCAGAAATTCGGATTCTATACTTATTGTGGCCTATCACTAATATTTTGTTACGCTTAAATACTAACAATCTGTTCAATGTTTATTTATTTATTTACTATTAATTTATTTTAAAAACTATCAACTTTAAACCGCTTAGCTCAATAATACTTACAGTTTTGTTTTGTTTCATTTCATTTGTTTTCTATTTCTAAATAGAAATTCATTATTGAAATTAAAGATGATCCATTCGAATGTAAATTAAACGATATTCATACTGTAAGTTTTAACAAATAATTTTAGGTATATAATCCATATTCATTTTATTTATTCAAACACATAAATATTATGCACATAGAGGCGACCAGACGCGGAAGCTTGTCTTTTATGGACACGAAGAATAAGTTTCTGCTCGTGAAGTTTATTCGCAATTTAGCTGCATTAAATGTTCTTCTAATAGTATAATATATAATATGACTAGTTGCTCCGTTACGAAGAAAAACCTTTATATAAGTCTGGAATTTAAAGGTGATCGAACATCAGAAGTAATCAAAAATCGTCTAACAACAACTATTAGAAGAACATTTAATGCAGCTGAATTGCGAATAAACTTCACGAGTAGGAACTTATTCTCCGTGTCCATAAAAGACAAGCTTCTTCGTCTGGTCGCCTTTATGTGCATAACGAAGAACTTGAATTCCTCAAGAAAACCCCAACGGAAAATGGCTACCCAGAACGGTTCATAGAAAAGAATATGAATAGAAGTAGTTGTGACAGGAAACTTAGTTGCTCCGTTACGAAGAACATAAATATTAGTAAAACGGACATCAAAATATCTTTGCAACATACAATACTAAAATGAGATTGTGAAAAGATTCAAGAAAAGAAGATAACTTCATTGAAAAACAGAACATAACTGAATAGAAATTACTGTATGGAAGTGAAAGTAATAAATATAATAGCAAGAGAAGCAGTTCAATTAAAAAAGTACAATGAAGAAGGATTATTTCAGTGAAAGATGTTTCTCTCACTGTTTTGAAGAAAGTAGAAGGAAATTACAACAGGACCGCCACTAAATTCTTTCTGAGATACGTCTGATAATATCTTAAGCCACGATGTTGCTCTATCTCTAGGTAGTTCTTTTAAGTTGGTGAGACCAGTTGAACTATTGTTTATGTATCCGAATACTTGTCTTAGACAACTTCTGTACAAAGACATGAAGGTCGATTTCAGATCAATCTTATGAATTGTTTCAACTATGTGTTTAACGATAGATGTTTGTCGTTTGCTTTGATTGTGTCATTTGATTTATTTTTATAGCCATTTTGGTACATGTTCAGAGACCCTGACATATTTATTACGACTGCTTCTATTTTTTATGCATGATCACACACATATGTAAACTCATAAACACTAGGTGACGTGATACAATCTCTTACATGCCGTTTCGCTTTCATTGAATTATACACTCTAAATTTTCAACTACAATTAACCACTGAGTACATTAATTGATCTAAGCTTTTCTTTCAGCATAAGTCTATTTGATTAACTTATAGAATTGTGGGATGTTGTCGGCATACTGTTTCGGTGCTAGAAATTTGATGCATGTCCTTTGTATTTTTTTTGAACTTTCTCTTGTAATTTTTTCCCCTTATTGTAGATTTTGTTGGATGAATTCGCTATTCACGAGAAACGTGTAAATACACTACGTGAACAGTTTAACAGAGCGATTCATTCAGGCATACGTGTTACCGGTTAGTGGTGGTTTTTTTAAAGAATATGTTATTTTCCCCCTTTTTTTCTCATTTTTATGTCCGTCTATCGATGTATGTATGATAAGAATACTACTATCTCCGACAAAAATCAGTTACTTATAATCAACACTGCAAGTATCAACCCAAAAATAATCATTTTTCATGTCCGACATTTCTGATTTTTCTAACTGCCCGTTTACCGTTTAGTCACTAACACACCCGCTTCTTGGTTAGTTACCTTCACCCCCACCCCTAAAGGACATCAGAAAAGTATCAATGACTTTTTCTTTTCTTCATCTTTTGGGGTGGGAATTACTTCTCATTACGTTTTATCTTCACGAAGGTTCGGGTTAGGTTGTTTCAGGAGTTATTGAAAATGTATTACAAATTTCACGTAGTGTATAAACATTGTATTAGGTCTTGGATTTACTTGTTGTGCTGTATTTCAATATGTATGGCTTGAGTTCACGAAATAACACAAAAGATACACAACTGTAATGAACATTTAAGATGAGTTGAATGTTAAGTTCGCTAATTGATTACGGTTAATAGGGGATTCAACTTCGACACTCGAACACGTTGAATACATAGTCGCGAATTGAAAAGACCGAAGAAGTCAGGAAAATTGTGTAATAAAGCTATCGTTAAAAATGCACAGAATAATACATAAGTCCCGAATTACTCGACACTTATGTTTCCAAAAGTCCACCTCCGTTCATTTAGTGTCACATCACACATGATAAACCACTCAGTTTATTAATAATACTGAAACTTAACACAGGAGTCGATCATCACTAAAAACTGTGTCCGTTTAAGCTTAAATAGCTTATCAATAACGTTTCTGACAGTGAAATAGGTTTAAATTCTGTGGGGAACATCAGTTCCTCAAGAATTATTTGGCTCTAAGTTGAACACATCAAATTATCGTTTCTCTCCACAGCACCTTTGCTACTTTTGGAGCGAAAACAAGGAAATTTAAATTTCCAAAATGAAATTATAAAATTAAGGCACTTATCAAGTGAGTTCTGGGGATCTAACATCTCCCACTTTTAATAACGTACGTTTCTGGGGCTCACTTGTGTTTTAACCATTTGTCGCCGTTTTCGGGTTGACGACCTGGGTCGTAGATCGACCTGTCGATGTGCTTCTTCCTGTGTCAGGACTGTGGGTAGACTAAAGGTATCTAATAGGATGTCAAGAGGGAGATTCCCTACTGTCGATGGGCAAACTGGGGCTAACCGCTTGCGTAGCTGGTTCTGATGTCGAGCCCACCTGTCTCTTCCTACCTCTACCTCGTACATGACATGGCCTAATTTTCCGACCACATGTGCTTCAGTCCAGGGACCATGATTTTGGTCTGTAATCCCGAGCGAAAACCGGAAATTTAAACTCGTATGTTGGCAGCTTCTGGGACTTGGTTGGTGATGGCGATGGTGTGGTTTTCGGAAGCATCGTATTGTGAACCGTCCTCAATTTTCTTCTCATGAGGATTTCTGCTGGGGACTTCCTCTCGGGTAATACATCACCAGGTGTCTTTCTGTAAACGACTAAGAAGTTTTATGGTGTTTCCACTGGCATTCCCTCCCGTTCCAACTTGATTAGAGCTCTCTGAAATGTATCCACAAATCTTTCTGCTTGGCCGTTTGATTGCGGGTGGTGGGGTGGGAAGCAGAGATGCTTGATGGATAACCGTTGGCAGAAATCTTGGAACTGCGTTGATGTGAACTGAGAACCGCTATCTGATACAATTACATCCGGTAGCCCGTTGCGAGAGAACATCTCCGACAAGAGCTGTATCGTTTTGGTAGTCCTCCGTGGCATAATGGGGACAATTTCTGGCCACTTTGAAAAGGGGTCAACCATGACTACATAGGTAGCTCCATTGATTGGACCGGAGAAATCGACATGTATTCTGAACTAGAGATACCCAGGCCATGGCCGCGGGACCGGCGTCACCTTCGCATTACATTTCGCTGCTTGCTGACATTGCGAGCATTTGCCTACTAAATCCATGATGTGTTGATCCATGAGGGCCAATAAGCATAGCTTCTGGCGATGAATTTCATTAGTTTTATACCAGGATGACCATTGTGGAACAGCTTTAGCACTCTTGATCTTAAGGACTCTGGCACCACTACTCTATCTCCAAACATCAAGCAATCATTCACGACGCATAATGAGTCTCGACGGTGATAAAGCTGATTCAAGTCACCATCGAGTCCAAACTCTATAATAAGACGAAATGGCTATCAACTACTTATTAATTTTCAATTGCTGTATAAATAAGTTATAAGATCAGTCCGTATAATGAACTATAAAACTCATATCCCTTCATAAACCATTTTGATGTCATTGTTGTGTTTTCCATTCAATAAAACAAAACAGATGAAGAACGTCAAGCATGCTTCACTCGTATAGAAATACAGCGTGCTCAAGATTATCGTAATCGTTTACATCGTTTCTATCGTGATTATGCTTTTTCCGATGAATTATTCACATTTACTATGGATAATCTAAAAATCAAAGCATTAGCTGATGAAAGTATTACACATGGTGAACAAGTCATAGCACAAATGAAAATTATGGATAGTGACAGGTAGGTTAATATATATATATAAGTCGTTTCCATAAGTAATAGTTTTACAAGTTAATGGATATCATTGGATAGTATAGGTTTATGCATAAAGAGTGGAAATAAAATATAAATGGTAATGCTAGGTCGCAAAATTATGACGCGGCATATTGAATAGTTGCGAAAGTTAAGCTACTAATTTTGTCCCTGATATTCTGAAAAAAAAACTTTCAGAATATGGAAATAATGAGTAGAAGGGAGAAAAAGATATTTTCAGGTTAATCATCAGTTTGTGTGACATACTCATTAAAAATTAAAATGATACATAAAAACTTACTATTTCTTTAACACATTAGTCTTGGGTCAATACAACAACATGATAAGATTAATAGTCGGGATTCTCTAATAACTAGTACGCGTTTTCAGTTCTTTCATATTCTCTAGACCAACTTTGAAGTGTAGTATGTGCGCGAACGCAAGTTATGTATACCTGGATTTTTTTAAATTCATATTATCTATTCGTTTTCTGAATTAAACAATTTATTTTTCTCCTTGCCCTGACCCTCTCCTATGTTCTATCTTCGTTTGTAAGTCCATGGCCAAATCTTACTGAACAAGATTTTTCTACTTTATGGTGTCGTATTATTACAATGAATGTTGAACGATGGCGCTTTCATCTACGTGATTATCCTAAGCCATGTTTGAATATAACCGATCTTTTTCTATGGGGTAAATTAGTTGTGGCTGAACAGTTGGCTGATAGTAAAGGTGAGTGGTGCATTTGTTATTTTATTTGTGTTTGTGTAAATAAATTTAATCAATTCAGTCGGTTAGTCATAGACGCCACTGAACATGACTCTGATTGATAAGGCCAATTTACATATAATAAAAGTCAAAGAGGCTTGTTTCGATCTTGGTCATCTTTGGCGCCTTTATGATGTTAGTGTGTTTGTAAAATGTCGGAAATACAACGCGTAAGTGAGAGCAGTTTTGCTGTATACTTTCCGGACCTGGGCTCTCCGGGTTGAGGATGTTAGATGGCCTTTTTTGTTTAATCATCGTCTTCTCGAGGTGTTACTGATGTTCAGTGGCGACACTATGTTAGAAATGCAGAGGTTTGGTACCGTGTTTTCGGACACAGCGGTGATGATTCAGTTGGTATCACTATCTTGAAACATCGACTTTTGTGGCTTGGACATGTCTTACGTATGTCATGATAGTTCAGGTTCTTTACTTTCAGCAAACAGCTATTTTGGCTAACATTTAGCGTCAGGACAGTAAATGGCTAGACATATTATTTTACATTGTCTGTTCAATGAAATGAGATGAACTTACGGTCATCGAAAACTGTTTTACCAAATTCACAGTAAACCAAGATGATTATTATCATCGTCGTAATATTCATTTTTGATTATGCTTATTTGTCCAAAAAACATCCTTGGAGTTTGTTAAAAACTAGTTTCTACACTTGTTTCGTCTTGTCACGTTTTATCGTGCTTGTATTATCCAAGTGCTACCCTCATGATGACCACAATGGATTTCAAATATCAAAGTATCCTGCCAAGGATAATCTTGCTTGATGACTGAATCACGATTCAATGACCGGCATAAAGTTACTGCTGAATATGTTGACATATTGTCGCCTACTTCCTAATCAATAAAATATACTTATAAAAGAACTAAAACTTTCATGTGTGACCTTCTGAATCAAGAAAATCTACCAAAGTCAAACTGGTTTAAGGTGATGGACCTATTTCATGTTTTTGTTGGATAGACTATGCCCCACGCATCTCAACTAATAACTTTCTTATGTACAATCTTGTAGGAATCAATCTCGCGTCATTTAGTTCCATATTCTGAGATGCTGGTACAGGCATGATCAGTTCCCTGAAAATTATAGCTTTACACCTTACTGATATCATGTGTCAACTAGAATGAAATCTTGTGAATTATTTCCTGTTTTGATTGGTTTTTTATTGCGTTACAGGTCAACGTAAAGTTCCTATTGAACCTGGTTATCCGTGGCCAAATTATACATTGATTCGATCCAGTTCACCAACTAAATTCTATTATGATTTAAATGCAGGTAAATAACCGTTTGTCAAGAATTAAATTGGTTGTTTTCTTGTTCATTAAAAATGATGTTTGGATGTTAGTTACAAATGGTTAGATTATCTGAAGAGTATTGAATCAGTAAAAACCAGAACGGACCATTAAAAAGTTTTATCTTTTTTTGTTTTTGGCTAAGAATTATTCGATCTTTGTATAATTACTATGATATGCAATGCAACTACTTCATATCTCATAATGATTGTGATACCTACGTATCGTAGTTCATAATGGTTCTATTTGGTAAAGCTGAATTATCGGTTATAAGTCCACAACTCCATTATTTAATAAGTCATGTGATTTTCATGATTCTCGAAAGTTTTGAATTTGACCTTATGTGAAACTGACACGGTAAGCCGATCGGAAGTAGCCAAGTCAGAAGGTCAGTTTATGGCAATCTGAAGTGACATGAAGGACAAGTGCATTTCATCGGCTAAGAAATAGATTGATATTTTATGGGTTATATATATCAATCTTTCACAGTAAAAACTTTATTTTCCAACGCTAGTTCTTCATCGAATGTCCAGTTTGTGATATACTTAGAATGGCAGTGAGTGACTGAAAAATAAATTGTATTTACTTGGGATAACTTAATAACACCTGAGCTTCAATGCTTCAATATGTACATTTATACTAGTATAGGGTTTTGTGGAGATCATATAATTTTCACAGTATTTAAATTATGAATTAATCTGATCTAAACTACCGTTGTAAACTTAGAAAGAAGCATTAGACAGCCATTTCTTTCTGATATGCGACTGGTCATAGTGCACATCCATGACAATCGAAAATGGTTGAGTAGTATCCTGAACCCATTAAAGTTGAACATTAACACCGTTGCGCGCGAGTTTCATAACCTAGAGGTTAAGCGTTTGCGAGTAGGACTGAAGGTCTTGGGTTCGATTTCCGGATGAAGGTCATGAGCGTGAAGTGCTGAGTAGTTCCATACTAAGGCCAAAATAGCTGTTCTGTTCTTCTGCGTTTTCGTTGGTTGTCTATCTCAGATTAGCTCATGATTTATTGTGATATATATTGCTTTAACATTTTCCTATCTTTTCTAACAGATGTAAAATCTTTTCATATATGTTATGGTGCTAATTGGGAACCAACTGTATCATGGTTTAATCAACGTTTAGATGATATTAAACCATTAACAAAAGACAAATCTTATCCACCATTAGGTTGGTGGGATAAAATACGTTTACTATTACATGGTCATTTGTTATTTGCTGTTGATACAATGCATTGGTCATATTCAACAAGTTTAAGTCCATATAATACAACGGAATTTTTCACATGGCAATGGAATCGTACTGTTGTGCATTGGGAAAATGGTATAATGTTTAATTGTGTATTATTTAAATATGTATTCTATTTTAAAATTATTTATGTTTTTTATTCATCATAAGTGATTGAGAACCGAATAGTGACTGAAGTAGTAATCAGTATTTTACTTCAGTGGTCGATAACTTAAAAAATTTAGATAGAACTAACTAGACGATCATGATGGTCTTAAAATGCCCTTGGAGTCGATTAATCGGAATGGAGATAACAATAGTTGAATTTATGTACACTTTTTAAAACAGAATAACAGATAACCTGCTACAAAATACCATTTCTTTTTTATGGGATTTCATAATTTTGCTAATTTGTTTGGTGATAACGATCGTAGATCAATTGCAGAATGCTGTCAACTAAAGCATCTTATATATATATATATATATATATATATATATATATATATATATATATATATATATATATATATATATATATATATATATATATATATATATATATATATATATATATATATATATATGTTGTTATGGTGTGTGATATTCAGAAAACCAGACAGTCCAGAAATAATTATTTTAAGAGTATCAAGGACAGAATTATTATAGGTATGAGTGTTAGGCTTAGGACAATAAAGTTAAAATATTATCATGTCAAAGTTATGTTCTTTGCAATGTCACCATCTTTTCGTAATGCATCATTCCCTTACAAAAGCTACATTCTGATTGACTGATCTCAAGGTCTCTTAAGATAGCTCAATATCGATGGTATAGATTAGTTATGCCGAAATTGTCGGAAAAACAACATGTTCTTTTATTGAACTAATCAGCACAAAATATTTGATCACCTTTTGTATTATTCAATAACGTGTTCAAAACGCGACCGTTATCTTTTTTATCTAAAATAGTTGGTTCTTTACAACTATAGACCTATACATTAGATAATGTTTTTCCTTTGATTTTTATAAATTTCTTTATACATCCAATGGTATTTCATAGGAGTTATAAGAATTGATGGTGATTTAGATTTGGTCTATCAAACTGCATCAAAATATGATGGAATATGTCGATTATTTCATATACCACATTTAGAAATGACGTAAGTCTGTGTTTATTTGTTCTAATTTGGTATTTTGTCCAATATAGTTATCTGATTATAGTCTGATGTCACCTCTGTTATGTATGTTTGATGGTTCTGTTATATTTGCAATCCCATTGCTTATACTTGAAAACTGGAATCAATGTAATTCTCACGATGAATAGTAAAAGTAAAGGACTGGTATAAATGGGAAGTTTTATTGATTCTTTCAAAACAAGTCGTACAAACACACATCGTTGTTGAATTAAATACATTCATTTATATACTGATTTTACACACACACACACACATGATGATGCTGATCATTTCAATAAACATCAAATCAACGAAAATATACACACTCGGAAGTTTATACAGAAATTGTGCATAGAGTATAATTGTTACATTTAACGAGAGGATCACATCTTTCATACTCAATGAAATTTACACTTAACAAATACAAAATATATTGATCTGAAGTAGTATTACACAGAAGAACATATAACCATTGTTGTCCTGATCAAAATGTAACACTGAGAATAAAGCGGTTATTACGAATAAAACTTATATCATAAAATGTTACATCAATTCAGAAAACGCTTAAACTCCTTCTTATTCCAACGTATCAATAATATATACGCACATATGAATAAATTATAGATATTACAAAAATTAAAATCATTCTAAATAAATGTGTATATACACGAAACTTACAATTAATATTGATCACTGAATAGTAAGAACAGTGTGATGTTTTGTCTAATTCTTTAGTATAAATTAAATTCTATCGACCAATTTACAATATGGTTACTCATCTAAGTGACTTAACATTATGTTCACTATATTTTGATGTAAGGTAGTTGAAGATAGTCAACAGGAAACATTACATTTTTGTCAACATGAGTCTTAAAAAAACTAATACTTCCTTTGGAATTTGAATCTCAAATTCCTTGTTGACTACTGTCAACTACCTATCTTTGAAACTTAAATACTAACATTATTGTCACATCAGTACTAATATTAATAGTAAGTTTAACATTTGGGTACTTTCGACCGGTGAGTCACGAACTTCAGCCTTATGTCACCTAAAGAGAATTCAACAGTCAAATTATTACATTATAGCTCCCCCCCAATATTATGTATGGTTTGTAGTATAAAGCATAAACGTTTTTGTTCCGAATTGTATCTTCTTTATGCGGACCTCAACAAAGTGACAATATTGTCCTTCGTAGTTAGGCAATAATATAGCATACGTGTAATACACATCTTAACTAACTGAATCAATAAACATCCACTATTTCATCAACCGATTTGCTAACATATTGCAAATAATGTAAATCATTAATCTAGGATACTAAGTATGGAAAAATGTACATTTTTATGGTATTAATGTACCTTAGCAGTTCAACTTGTCTGCTACCCTGGCGAAATCGATCAGACTGTCTCACCCTCCATGACCCTTGACGACTGATCCACCTTATGAGGCGGAAGTCCTCAAGGAGCTCCAACTCCTGAAGCTCCACAAATCACCAGTCCCATATGACTTACATTCGGCTTTTCTTAAAGATAGTGGCGACTTTCTGGTTACGGAACTGATCGAGTTGTTGTTGGGATATTCAGGAAAGTATCCCAAATATTATTCTGTTAAGCCTAATGCTATCCTTGGATATGAAATGGTATCATCCTATTGGTCAATATTCATTTAACGTGTCATTTTCCTGTTGGCCAATATTGTACAATGTTATTTCTATTTTATGGTACGATGCGGTTTGTTTGGTTGGTATATAAACAGAGCATGTTTGAAATATAACGATTCATATCTCCGAGGCTGAGACTTGCGTTCTGGACTCAACTGGCTGGGCCAATCAGAACCGTAGGCCGTTCTTGCGTGTTCGCGCGTCTTTGGTCCGATCGATAAATTTGCTGTACTCTAATCTGCCGTCACAGTTATAGCAGTTTACAAAGGTCTGGCAATTAAAGAGTGTCCCAAATTCGTGGAATGAGTCGATGGTTGTCTCTATCCTTAAAAGGGATTCACGTCGTTTTTGTAACAAATATCGCGGGATAAATCTACTTTCAATCGTATCCAAACCATAGGTCTCCGTCATATTTTCATCACAGTGTGCCAATATGTTGTGATAACTTGATCTAATGCACTTTGTGTGACAGGTTCTCGATTGACTGCCGTAATGATAGGAAATCCTACTTCACTTAGATTTCGTAGTTTCTTAATCCTTTTAGTGAATAAAAATTGAAACTTAATTTTTTAATTGGTATGTAAATTAATTGTTTGCAGTTATTTCTTAACTTACATTTGTCATTTATATTACTTTTATACAGAGTAAAATTAGACTGGTTATCATTACGTGATCCAAATGATCACCACTCAGTGAAATATTGTTGTACGGACTGTCTGACACCAAGAGAACAAACTCAGGTTTGTTTATTAACTTTTTTTGTTTCTAAAATCCAGATAACAATAATTGGCGATATAAAGTCTATAGAAATTTTTGGAGAAATTTGCTATTTTGTTGCCGTTAGCTTAACCACGTGGTTAGACTTATACTTATTAATCCCACCATTCGATAGAGTAGTAGAGATGTATACTGTATTGTTCAGAACGAAAATTATCAATATCAAGATACAAAAGAAAGAAATATCTATTATAGGATGAGTAGTTACTTATACATGATGTATCAGGCATGTCAATCACTAGATAATAGACCAATTAGATTTAGAATAGCGCTTGTTGTATAACTGCGCAAATTTCAAAACATAGTGACGAACAGAAAAAGTGGAAAGGATTTGTAGCACATGTGAAATTTTGTTTCCTGAGTTGGACAGTTTAATCGTAGAGCTTTCATTGTTCCAACTGAGGGAAGCACTAAATCGAACAACGTGGGTGCTCTCTTCACTTTTTTCTTCATGAACATCATCTAGGTACCAAACTTCATGATGTGTCTTTGCTTATGTCAGTCCACGTGGACGATTAAGAACACGCGTACAATTAGAAAGATTTTGAATAAATGGAATGATGCGAACATTAGATGATTTTTAGAAGCTTGGCACTCAGATAAATCAGCAATCAACAAAAACAAAGGAATCGATCCAATATGTTAACCAAGCAGAAAAATCATGGACGAATATAGGACCACGAATCAAATCAAAGGGATTTACAATCATAATAAAGATGCAGATAATGACAGATTAGAGGTCAACACTAACCAATCAAGATCGAGGTCGACAGGACAAGCTGTGAGTCATATGTGAAGAAATCCGAATATCCCACTTCTGCCTGAAGCTTGTTTTAATGATGTTGTTCGGAAGAACAGTAAAAGCTCCACGTTTAAACCATTCGGTCCAGAAAACCAAACCCCAATGAAAAAACGGTAAAAAATACCTTGTACGTTATTAAGAACCAAATATAACCTACTAATATTCACTTAAGACTCTAAACTGATCAACAAACGAAGACGAAAAATTAAAGACCACAAATTAGTAAACCTGCAAAGCTAATAAAAAATTCACATGCTTTTGTTTTTCTGATCTTCCCATTAATGGTCTAGACTACAAGTGGTCAGTCTGTTATTGGCATTTGTGCATGCTGTGCGGATTGCCTCGATATCACCATTAAGCCACAAGCATTTTAAACAGAGATGAGTAGTGGCTAGCAGTGGAATCTAAGATGCATGTTTCATCCTATTCGGTACTTGTCAGCTGGATGTAATTGCATCCCAGAGTCGATTTTCACTCTCGGACTCCAACTCAATACCGTTATTGGTACTTAAAATCAAAGAAATAAGTGCATAAGTACTTATCTTTGTAGTTATAAAACGTTTCTAACCCTAATCTCTCAATACCGTTATTGGTACTTAAAATCAAAGAAATAAGTGCATAAGTACTTATCTTTGTAGTTATAAAACGTTTCTAACCCTAATCTCTTTGGAGCATGTATCACGTATCGGTCTAGTCATTGCTTCCAGTTACAAATGATGACATAGATATAGATTACTATGAAAATTGATATCATTGAAACAATCCTTGAAATAATTTACTGTTGGATTGAATCATTTCAGGATGTACGAACTACTTTATGTAACAGTAAATTTGTGGCTGAGGATTTTGTATGATATGGCTGAAAATCTGTCGCGGTAATCCTGACCTGCTCATTCCGAGTTTCCCTCTTCAGTTTTAACATGATTTCACTTTATTTCTATTCGCTTTAACTAACTAAAAAATGAATAAATTTTCGGTTAGTTGCCGTTACTGCTTATAATGCGAAGAAACTATTACATCATCGGTTGATTGGAGTTACATATGCAAACCATCGGGTAACAACTAATTGGTCTACGTGACCTGAAGGTCTTAGTTTAAATACCCAGTTGAATTGTGAGTACTCAATGCTGAATATTCCTATGCTAGGACGAAATAGCTATTTAATGCGTTCTTGTGTTTAATAGTTGCCTAACTACGATCAATCCATGATATCAACTATATAATTCAACACTTCACACCGTTCTATATACTAATTTTTTTGAAAATAATGAATAACATTTTCTTAAGTCTACCCATTATGATTATTATTTTTTGTAGCACGATTCCTTCAAATACTTCCGGGCGAATCGTTTAGCTATGGATATTAACTTCACCGTGAAACCACCTCCAACTGGATCATCTACTATGGATCAAAGACCTTGGTGTTCATTCTATACAAGTGTATTAAAATTTGCTGATAAACTACGGGTAATTTTTCGTTGTATTTTTATTATTTCTATATTCTTGTTTATTTATTTGTTCTTAAATAATATATTTTAGAACCTAAGATTAGTGTATAGTTAGCTAAGTATACTACTTAATACATACAGCACTATATACTCGTTAAAATATAAATTATTTTCAATAATTAATGTTTTACTGTTGTTATGTAATTAAAACAAAAGCGGAAGTGAAATAACCTATGCGTTACATCAACCTATTTATTGTATGGCTTAATAAACACAAAACTATTTTCCTTATATTTATTTAACAATAAACACTTAACATTAAACAATGTAAACGCAAACTTGCATATATAGTAACAATTTGTACTATTAGCTTCCTTTTTTTAGTACTTTTGTTATTGTTCTTAAATGAAAATTCAAGCATACTTATTATAACTTGTTTGTGTAATTTACAGCCTTATTGACTATCTATTTAAAAGTTAATGAATTATGTATGCCCAACCATTCTCTACCTTCATATACGATGTTTACTAGTTAGTGAACAGTAAGTTGGAAAAAGCTAAGGGCACCCTAATCTAAATATGTCATCAGTTCATGAAAATTGCTAAACCAACCAATTAGCAATGAGAAATGATCATGATCAATACAGAAATTTGTGGAAATTATCATATTTTCATAGTTTTTAAATCAAAAACTGATCTTAGACTATCATTGAAAATCTACAAGCACTGGACTACCGTTTCATCCTAGTATCAATCTCAGCCAGCAGTGTTCAACTACGACCCTGACAGAGAATCTAATTTAGGAATTACAGTATCACAGGGACAGTTATTCACCCTAGGCAATGGAGGGTGGTTGTAAGTTGGTTGAAGTTAGAAATTGACACCATTGAATACTGGCTCAGTAGTCTAGAGGTTCAACGTTTATGGTGTGATTAGTTGATATAAAATCTATGAAAACTGTGAGTTCCACTAAACTCTATACTGATAATTATTCAGTTGCATCAATGTGTACTTAACTGGATCTTTCTTGTTGGAACGGTACTGCTGTGCTGTCATATTCAAGCTTCATCAGGTTTCGATACCCCTTAGTAACTGTGACATTCAGCGGTATGTGGATATCCACATTTCTTGAAGATTGTAATGTCTGATAGTCACTTGACTACACCTCATTAAAGTCAATTTATGACGAATTAAAAAACTTGGGATCCAATCGATGATTTTTTTAAAAAGTGAATACACCTGCGTTATTGCGATTGATCTTTCAAAATCTCTAACCGTTGATTAGTCAAACGAACTGGAACCAGCTAGTTTGCACCTATTTCATTCTTGATTGAAGAAATAATTTTAATGTTTTGCTGCCTATTAAAAATAAATATTTCATGCAGTTAGTTCATTTTATGAGTTTTATTTAAAAATATATTCCGTAGAATTCTCTTGCGGCCTTTCAACACTTTATTCCACTGTTTCTTTATGCTTTGTGCTTTTTGCCTATTTCATTCATCGACTGATTGATTGATTTTAGAATTGTCTGTCACAAATTCCTCGTCCTATTCGTCGTGGTTCTTTATATCAATATAAGCCACCAAGAAAACCACATTTTGGACGTCTACTTCAGTAAGTCCTACTTAATACTGTATGGATGAATTTTTGTTTGTGTTATATTTTATTTATTTGAACACATAAACATTGGCACAAGGGAGCACCAAACACATATGCTACACACACTAACATCGGGTCCAGTAATAATGATCATTGATTTGTGTGAGGGTTGAAATACTGCCCAGGTACTCGAACTGAAGCACGTGTTTTTCTTAGGGGTCCACTCCTTGAGTTTTTGTCACAGAGATTTGATCCACAAGCCACTGTAGTAACTTTAGGAGATAAAGTCTCGTGGTAGCTGGTGACCAACAATATGTTCATACGCGATTGGTTCCCTCAGGATACGGGAGCCCATGTGCATCATTGGTTTAGAATGAGGGTTTTCCAACTCATCTAGGTGGATCCTCCGTGTTATATGTTCAACCATATATATATATATATATATATATATATATATATATATATATATATATATATATATATATATATATATAATCGTTCTATTTTCCTACTTCACTTTTCCTACTTTAGATCATTAGAATTTAGTATTAACATGCCCCAATTAGAAATAATCTTTTGGGTCTCCTATGCTAAACGTACTGGTGTTCATGTTACTACTGGACCAATTCAAATTATTGGTAAATTAAAATGTAAAATAGAAAATGAGGTTAAATTCAATCGATTAATTGGAAAATTGAACACTTCAATAGCCTCATCGTCTACATCTGTAATCGTATCAGGTGGTGAATCAATCCCATTAGATACTACCACTACATCTACTCTCAATGAACAAACAACTATTCTACATCCATATGTAATGATCCCACCAAAATTATCAATTCAACGTAATGGTTTATCAAGACGTCCTATAGTTAATTGGTGTGTTTTAAATTTATTCGCTAGTATACATGATATTGCAATACATTTAAGACATAGAGATAATCTTCCTGGTCCATTAATTCAAATGTTATTACAGTGTATGAATACACATCAGAATTGTGTAAGTTCACTTTTATTGATGTATATATGTAATATGTCTTGTTATATCTTAAACATTTAAAGCATTTTTTAAGTTTCAATAGGTTTGATGTTAGATATGGTAGATCGGTTAATGGGAGATAGTAAATCTTCATTGACTAGGTTTGTAAGAAATATATATTATGTATGTTGGCGTAGAAGAAAGCTGAAAGAAAGCCTAGAGTGACTGTTAACGCTTTAGATCGTTGGTCGATATCACGCTTTAAAGTCACTAATCAGAATTCTAATTATAAATTTTTCGAAGGATTTACATCTATGGACAACCTTTTGATCAATGCTAAAGTGACCTTGGGAAAATTCACTTACTGGGGTCAAAAGAAGACTACAGATTATTGTGAGGAATTAGGATGATAATGTAGAGTTAGAAGTGAGCGTCGGGTATTAGATTTAGGGTTTTCATCAAGAACGTACATCAGACATAATAACAAAATTGCTAGTGAACGATATGTATGGATGTATTTCGCGCCAAAATCCAATAAATGCTATTCTAAATCTTATTAGTTCGTGCGTAAATTATAGCCTCACCAATGTTTCTATTCTGGATTCACTATTTCTGCTATAGCCCAGTGTTCTAGACTTGACCATTTACTCCTCCTACCTACGCCCCTAACGTCGAGCCTACGCTCACTTGTACCGACGAGGTTGGTTGAAGTGGTTATGTTGTGCAGTTTCCGATTTTCATTTCAACATTCAAGCTTCTTACATACTAGTTCAAGCTAACTACTGGAGTGAGAAGACTGAGAATCAGTAAGGAACTTTATCGCCCAAAACAGAATTAAGAATACATGTACAGATATTCAGAAATATCTTGATCTTTCTTGCCTTGGAAATAGCATGCTAATATTGCCGAATCTTGATCAGTAGTGGGATGCACCACTGTTTTGGCTTAATGACAACTTGCCATTCTTATCAGAAATAAATTTTGGAAAGGTGTAAACAATAATTAAACTATCATGATATTATTCCATCGAGTTTATTGACTGTTGACTCATAACAGAGTGTACGACGGTTACATACTAGCACAAAACGTTTATCCAACCACTACCCTATTGATTATTTTTAACTATTATTATTCTATTAGCTCTAATCTCCCAGATCGTATGTTGATGTTTTTATGTGTTTTTTTCAATCTTTATTTAAACAGACTAATGATATTAGTAACAATCATCAGTTAAACTATCATAATTTCAGCATTCATGACATAGAACAACTGGATACTAAAGAAATGAATAATGATACTGAAGCATTTATTCTAGTCCCATTATTACGTTATCAACAACTTTGTCCAACTGTTCTCCCGTCAAATATAGCTGTACGTGTGCATATACCTGGACCAAGATCTACTACAGTGACATCTGTTACCACATCTACAACTAATACTACTACCAATGAAAATAGTAATATTTACAACAATAGTTTTGGAAATACTAATCTCAGTCCTACTAGCATTGAATGTCATCCAGTTGAATCCATAAAGAATAATACACCTATCAATTCTACGTCTACAATTACTGAGAATATAAGTGCGGATGTTACGTCGACATCACATGTTGATGATGAGAAAAAATTGCCATTCAGTCATCATAATAATAACAACCGTACTACTCATAATAATACTAATCGCATACCAACCCCTAGACATAACTCTACTGCTACACCCTGCAGTAGTAACAATCAGTTGACACATGAAGATGTAAGTTGTTGTTATTTATTTGTATGTGTTGTACAAAATATCATTGTTAGTTCTTGAAACAGCTAGCTAATTTCGCTAGTCGGAATCCTAATTCGGATTTTCATGAGTTCACATCTATTATTCACTTTATAGCTCAGCATCTGTAACATGGTCAATTGCATGCCCGACCACCACTGTTGATCGATCCAGTATTCGCTAACTCCTTTCTACTCTCAGCTCTTTAATTCAGAAGTAGCAACCAACGTCTACAATGTCTATATTTCAATTAGACTTGGTCTACCTTTAGATATACTGGACTGCATCATACTATACAATGAAAGATTACGATTACAAACAAGGCAAGTATGTCTGTAAATAGGGGAGACCGTGAGTAATAGACTGGTACCAAATTAAGAATAGTAAGTCTTAGAAGAGCAGTTCACGAGTTAAATGAAAGCTTATATCAAGTGTCCGACGAAATCTCAGCACGGATTCGAAAAGCTCGTTTGGCTTTTGCCAACTTACGTCACCTATGGTTAGTTAGTTAGTTAGTTACAACGTAGGGCCAGGGAGGGAGTATACTGCGCGGCAGTTCGTTCTTTTCTACTGTGCACATGCGAGACGTAGCTGTTAAGAGTAGAGGATACTCGTAAGCTACTAGAATTTAACTACAAATGCCCTAGAAATATTGCTCGCATCTGCTGGGATCATCGGGTAAGTAATAGTGAGGTTAGACTCAGGGTATTAGGGAATGGTGGTAAACCAGTTGACGAGGTTGTAAATCTTCATCCACTGAGATGGTTAGGCCACGTGTTACATATGCCTGAACACCGATTACCACGACGTGCAATGCTAACCGGTGTTGGGGATGGTTAGAAGAAAGTTAGGGACGGCCGAACAGAAACGTGGCATCAGTCTTTGAAGTCACTAACTTCTAGTCTGAGCCATGTTGGTTTGGGTCCGCGTAACTATCGTATCCAATTCTTGGAGACTGTGTGTGATATGGCTCAGAATCGATCACAATGGCGTCGGTGTATACATTCTTTATCTTCGCTCTAAACTATGAGATTAACATCGCTTCATATCTTTCTTTCTACGAACTAATTATTTCTTTCTGTACTATGTCCTTATATGCAACCTTTCTTTCATATATTACCACCACTGAATTAACTACTTCTATGAATCCGGTGTCCATCTTGCTGTGCTAATGAAGTGTGGCAACTTGGTCCGATGCATATATGTGCCTGGTCCTACATTGTAGCTGGCTGAATGATGTCAAGTGGAATCTATATGCATAACAATCTAGGTTTACAGTAATTATATGATGAATAATAGTTCGAAAAATCAGTTACAACTTCTATAATATTCTTTCCATTATAACTATTATTTAAGCTATATTGATAAAAAAAATTTACCTTACACCATTAACTGGATACATTATATAGACAACCGTTAAAAAAAGTAGAAATCAATAAACATTATGAAACTCCTCAACACTACACATTTAAGATAGTTGTTTAATTAAGACCAATCTTTGGTATAAATCATAATATCGAATTATCTCTACAATTATAAATAGAGATATATAGTGTCTAGCAGAGAAATCCAGGACACGTGTTTCAGGCCATTTAGAGCTCGTCAGCTGTATGTATCTGCATCCCTCAATTGATGTTCACGCTGGAACTTGGACCCAATACTTTTTGCTTCAAATGCTATCGAGTCATCCACTTAACTATTGGGTCTAGATAGCCGCTGGCTTGTGCATTGTGGTGAATTTTCGTTCATTTTAATTGGTTGTTTGTGTTTTCCCATTAATGTTCATGATTGCAATTTATCATGTCATTTACTATTGGCTCATCTCTGAGTCGTGACCAATACTGTTTGTTTAATTTATAATGCATACAGAATTCTGTCGACCAAGTTTCAATCTGATCTCTTGTCTTAGTGGCTCAACATCAAACCCACCTTGTTGATAATGTTAGATGGTTACAGGTAGTTGACATTCACTAGCAAGTTGTATCTGCAACGTTCAGGAAATTAATGTTTCCTGTGTAATTCGATTCTCTCAATTTGAGACGATATCACCAATCTATGCATACTGTAACTTCTCAACGTCATGTGTATCTAGTCCTTTCTATTGCTACAGGGTATTCTACAATCTACCTTCAGCTACTTTTACTTTTTGTATAACTGTAGAACTCAACGTTGTTTAGTTGATTTTTCAGACAAATGAATAGTGATTCAGAGATATGTGACTTGTAACCTGTATTTTTCCTATCCTCTTTTTTGTTATAATTTATATTTTGCTCAGACCTACTCTGTGTTCAATCGAAGTGTAGAAACCATTTATTTGATTGGTTTTGTTGGTACCAAGCGGATGAGATACATGTAATGCTATAGAATTAATTCCTATCTACCTGTCTACCTAGACTTAGTGAACACCACAAAAATACACTTAAATTTCATTGACTCACAAATCGAGTTACTCTATTTTTTTCGCCTGCTCTTCCTCTATTTCTGTCTTAGCTCACTCCTGTTCATCATCTTGAAATACATGAATTTAAAATGCGATGGACAGAACAGCATAGGAATCTTGTTTACATTCTAATGAATAGTTATCGACATGCTCAATCGTTGAAAAAGAATTTATCAGCTCGTGCACTACATGGATTCAGATTACATCCTGGCGGTAGTAGTAATGGTCATACAACAACAATGACAAGCGGTGGCACAGCTCTTAGTCGAAAGTAAGCAGTATTAGTAGTAGTAACTTCCTCCTCGAAATTATTAAAATCACTTACTCCATTTCATCATTCCACTAAAGCAATATCTTGAGTCTTGAGAGTTTTTTCAATTTGTTTTTGTGTATCAATTGTTATTTTAAGTAATTTAGAAAAATGGAACATAATTAATGTGGTCATGAAGTGCTGAAAATACATTTGATAAGAAGCAACATTACAGTTAGAAATTAGTTTCACGGGTTATCAAGTTGGTTTAGTGATAGAAGTATTTATCGATTTCAGTCATCAAGTTTTAATGTTTTAGCTCAGGTTCATCTTTTTGCTTTCAAGTAAATTTAGTTTATGACTCAGAGATTCAAGCTTAAGAAAATTTGTTTGATCAATTAGTTTGTACTGTTTAGAGATTTTTTAACGAAAGTACATAATACATTCACTATGCGCCATACTTGAAATTGAGATGTATGTGCGTACCACGTTCTACGTTGCGAATTACTAGTTAGCACTCTAAATTTGCAGGGTAGTAATACCACACCACTACCTCAACTGTTATAGGTGGAGTGAGGATTCAAATACAGGACTTAATGGTTAAAAGGTGAATGTCACCATCGCTAAGACACCGCTCCCTTGGTTCGAAAACAGTTTATGATCATTACTAATAATAAACATTATAACATGATCCCATAACAACAAAGAGCATTACAGATATATAAGTTGATAAAAATGTTACCATGGTCTGTCTTGCACTTCACGATTTACCATGTATTAATTTTCAAAATAAGAAAAATCGTCAGATACTTTGAACTCTCCCTAAAAGGATTAATTTAATATTTTCACATTTTAAATCACAAGTTGATGTAAGCTAGACCACCATTGAAACGTGGAAGCACTGAATGGCCGTTTCGTCCTATCATGAGACTTCTCAGCGGTGCGCATACACGATTCTCACGCACGAACTCGTAATCCCCTGATCACTGAGGCGATATCAAACGGTGTTAATGTTCAATTCCAATCGATCTATGATCTTGCGCAACCCTTCATCCATTGCTTGAGGTGGGTTACAATCTCTCACTGGACACGAATTAGACCTCACTGGTCACGGCTTCTCGCTGGAACTTCAGGAGCTATATCCTGAAGATAGTCACTAGTTAGCACATGATTACTATCATTATGGAGATTTGTGGAGATTGTAATATTTTCAGTTTCATACTAGAACGAAACGGTCGTCCAGTGCTTCCAACTTCTAATGGTGGTTTAGCTTTGATCAACTGTGGAAATATTAAAACCTCTACAAGTTTCCATACTGATAATTTTTTCTTATTATCACAGTTGTCATTTATTTACGTTACGTTTATGGGTACTCCCCCCCCTCACATTCCTTATTCACTTACATCTACTTTTTCTGCTTTAATGAATAGTGCTCGTAGTGCGATTCAATTAACAAACAGTGTTAATAATAATGGTTTTAAATTACTAAACTCTACTGATAAACGTCCATTATCTACTGTTATTCAACAAACTGAGTTATGTCATTTATCTAAATCGACTAAATCAAATTATAATGATAATTATCTTCTGACGAAAATGCCTACAAGTGATGAAGTGTTACCAGATAATATCGACATGTCATCAAATGCTGTGACTATGGTGACGGCGACAACAACAACAAATAATAATAATAATAACTCAGAAATGGAGGAAAATAATTATGATCATGTATATTTGTCGACAAACTCATCACCATCGTCTGAGTCGAATAAAACGAAGTTAACGTTTTCTAAACAGATACCAATGTTGGCGCAGTTATTAGAGGAAGTGGATACAGCACGTTTTTATGCTTATTGTGAAGAAGTAAGTTAATCTATGTATTACTTACTTGCCTTTCGTCCTATATGTGACTCTTCATTCTTTAAAAATTAAAGCCACTTATCGGCCAGTGTTGTGCTTGAATCATTTACCAATTTCTGGTTATCCAAACCTATCATTTTTTTTCACTGTCTATGCTAAGAATTAAAACTGTCAGGAAAACGTGTTACTAAATGAATATATCAAGGTAATCCGCTCAGGATCCACATATATTAAGAAAAATTCATCAATCATAGTCATGATTATCAATAAAGAGGAAATACCAACTCTTCTACAAATGAAGAGTAATTGCTTGAACTAATTAGCTTGAATACGAAAATTTGATCGCTTGTGATTTTGAAGGTTTTCTTTATTTTCCAACTGTTAAATACATGAACCTCCGTCTAATTGGATTAGCTGTATTGATTTAAAATTAGAGTACTATGTAACATTTTGTTTTGGTGTATAGTCTTGGGTCCTACATTTAAAAGGATCACGTGTCTATTTATATCACACATGACGGTATAACTCATCAAACTGTAACATACTATAGACAATCTGAATTGAAGTCCCTCTGAAAGAAGTATAATTTTTTCCATGACTGCAGAGTATTGAACAACATGAAATGCAGGTCCAGGGTTGCTTACCAATTGCTCAAATCTCTATCTGCTGACATCATAATTAAAAATCTCTAATTCTTTTTTCAGTATTATCATATTATTTCCATGTTTTGTTATTATTTAACTAATGAAATCGTCTATATGAACGTTGTTGCTGTGTTTTTTTTCCCAACAGGAACCCAAACAAACAGATGTAGTATCACAACTACAAGGTTTACATATCTGTGCGTCTAGTTTAGTTGCTGAACGTAATTGGCATTTGGAATTGATTAATCCTCAAGTAAGTTTTGTAATGTTTTGTTTTTGGGGAGAAGGGGCTCTTGAATGAGCATTAAACTGAATAATTAGTTTATTTTGATATTGGTGTCTTTTTAGTATTGAATTAATATCATGATAACAAGATTATTATCATTATTTTTTCTTTATATTTATAGTTAATGTTGAAAACAAATCATTTAGCCGGTTATGTCTTAGTGTCCGCAGCCAGAGCCAAGTTGGATGCGTTAACTCATCCACCAATATGGAAAGATTCACAATTGTTGAATAAATCTAGTTTAGTTGGACATTTGGAATGTATGCAATATTATGCTACTGTTGGACAAGTGAGTAATCTTGGTTGTGGTAGTGAAAGTAGAAGTGTATTTTTTAACGTAATATATTGCATTTTTATATAAATTAAATGAACTATGACTGGTAACGGGTTGTAGGATGAACGTTTCATCCATGTTGAGAATGTTCAAGTGAATGTACCTGCAACCCAGAGTTGATGTTCACTCCTGAACTGGAACGCAGTAATATGAACAATCAAAATACAGTCAAAATATTGACGACGGGATAATTCAATTCAGTTAAAATCGAATTGAAAATCATACTCGTTTTACAAGTAGTTGGCTACCTAAACTCAGTAGCAAAATGGGTATTTTGTTAGCGTTCAAAGCGAAGGATACTAAGTTTAAGTCTCAGAATGAAAATCAACTCTTGGATGCAGGTAGATTTTTCTGAAAATACCCGAATTGTCTGAAACGTGCATTCTGGACTTTCCTGTTATCCACATTCCATCTACTCTGGAGTAACCTGTGTCGTAATGAGCTATATCAAGGTGATTTGAATAGGATGTACACATGCCGATCAAAACTGATCAAATTTCAGTCAAAATATCAACATCAGGATAATCCATTCCGTTTCAAGTTGAATATTGAATTTTCCCTAGGTAATCAACGTTTTATCATCGTAATCTTTGATTTATAGTTTGTAAGAGTTGTTGAAAAATGAGAGTGATTAATCAAAACTCCATAATTTTTAGTCGGAGGTGGATTGGTCAACTGACTGATTGAGATCGAGGAATCAAATTAACGAAGTGGACTGTTTAATTCACTATTCAGAGATGTAAACAGCGCATTAATTTATTAATTCTTAGTGAGAATAAATAAATTCTTTCCAAACTCTGACTACTACTATCACTATTAGTAGCAATGTATATCTCAGACACTGATCTTAGACAACGATTGACAACTGAAAAGCGCTGGATTGCTGCTTCGTCCTAATGTGGAATCCATCAACAATACATTTCCATTCATCCACTAGCCCAGATCGGTTAAAAATAGACCAGGCAGTGGATCCTTATATGAACCTGGTCAGAGTACACAGTAGTCAAGGCTTTATACTGCTAACAGGTGTTACTTATCTCAATCTTTATATAACGAAAGATGTTTATGACTAGTATAGAAGGATTTGTGGAAATTGTCGAATTTTCATGGGTTAAATCACGAATTGATATTATCTAGGTTTTCGTTAGAAAGCTGGAAGCACCGTATAGCCGCTTCGTTTTAGTATAATTTCGATTCCCGGATAAGAGCTCGTGGATGCGCACTTCTGAGGATTTTTTTACTAGGACAACGTGGCCGTCCACTGCTTCCAAGTTTTCACTGGCGATTTAATTAAGGTCGGTTCGTGTTATAAACTATGAAAATGTATTTTTTTCAAGTAATAATTTAATTGTTGGTGTCCTTCATTTTTTTCTTGTCCTAGGTTCTTCCAGAAACACCTGATCAATGGTTATCTACAGCTGATGTTAGTGATTGGACTCATCATAATTTGAATGCTGATGAAGATGCGTTAAGTGGACGACCTGAAGTAGTAGGTTGTGGTAGATCCGTCGGTGGTGTGGTTACAGCATGTGTTGGTTTTCCAAAAACACCTTCAAACAACAATAATAATATTAGTAACAATAAGAATTCATTAACTCGAACAAGTACATTGACCTTTGGTACAAAACTAATGAGTAATGATTCCACACTCAAAAATAATGTTACTTTAACTTCTATGATGACCACAACCACACCAACCACTACTACAATCACTAGTTCTACTTCTAAACTTCATACGGATAATATTCGTCCTATTCAACTACAACGTATGATATCTCGTTGTTCATGTGAAGTATTTTATATACATTATGAACCTGCTGATCCAGCGAATTTACCACTTCCACATCTTATTCCACCATTAGTAAGTTCTAATTTCAATGATTTTTTTCAAATCATGGGATGGATTTCTTTGTTTACCTGTCAAAATACTCTTAGCTATATCACTATTAAAGACGAGGAGGCAATAGACAGCTGTTTCGTTCTGATATGGGACTCTTCAGAAGTGCGCACCCGTAACCTTTACATTAGAGATCGAATCGTAAACACTCTGGTCTCGCACACGGTCTCTAAACCTGATGATCACTGAGTCGCCACCTAATGATGTATCTGTATAAATTCAATCAGTCTAAGATAGTGTGGAACCATATCTCATTGCTTACCATAGATAACTGTTTTTACACCCAACATAGTTGATCTCCAGTAATCAAGGTTTCCCACTAGAACTCCAGGGATTATATCTTGAAGCTAAACTTTTTGTAAGATATATATTCGCTATCGAATCCTTCTGAACTGACCCATGTATGCAAGAGGAATGTGTAATTAGCCTATCTCGGCCATGATAACCAGGTATTTATCAAATAACCTTGATTGATTTTTTTTTAATTTCCTCCATTTTCGTCCTCTTATATTTATCCTTTACCATAATGTTATTGATGTTCACATTTGTATCGTATCTTATTTGACACACACCTTCTTGAAACAGGCATATCATGGTAACATTAAAGTGTTTAGATATGTACCCACAAACGTCATGGTACGGCCGAGATTGAGGAGAGTTCGCTCCCCCTCTCAAAATGCTCTCACATAACCACGCGTATATAGCCTCTGCCAGGAAAGTCCTACTCATTGCCTCCTCGTGGTGGAGGTGTTGTTGACGGAATTAAGAGGACCGTAAGCGAATATCCGACGATTTAACCGGGTTGGTGGACATGGAGAGTCCACTTAGGTGAGTTGGGAAACCCCGATTTCAAACCAGTGCTGCGCATGGGCTCCAGTATCCTGAGGGAACAAATGGTGTATAGACCAATCGTTGGTCACCACTACGATGGGACTGCATCTCCTTACGTTGCTCCACTGCCTTATGGATCAGACCTTCAGTTCGAAGTCTCCGGATGTGGCCCCCTATGAAATCCACCTGCTTCGGTTTGGACATCCGGTCTGTATCACAGCCCTCATACATATCAAACGAAATTTGTATGGCGCATATGTATTTGGTGCTTCGTTTTACCAATATCTATGTGTTAAAATAAATAAAGTTCAGATATGTCTCTGAACAGGTTTCCGGTCCACTACTTGATTTCAAATTCAATGATCTTAATTTTATGATTTCTCCATGTTCGTCTTGATTCTTATTTCATAAATTACAACGCCCTCTTTAAAGTCCTTCCTGTAAAATATTTATCCATGAAATACTTTCAAATTATAATTTATTCCAAGAGTAATATAACTTGCAAGTGTTATTCCTTATCCTGTGATCTGTAAAGACTTATTCAATGACCTGATATTTTTTGTTGGTGCTGCATTAAATTTGTCTGTTTCTTTTTGTTTTGACTTTTTTTTACAGTCACTAGATGAAACAGAAGTTGTTCGTAATCCAGAAGGAGCTGACACAGTCACTTTATTGCATCATACGCTAAATGTTTCCACAAACTCTGTGAGTTTTGTGTTGATATGCATATTAGTTGATGCCATTTTATAAAATATGATTAAATATGTTTAGTACTACAAGTTTATGGAAATTTTTGAGTTTTATATTTTACACGACGGAGTGGTGTTATTTAAACAATCGTTGAAAACCAGAAGATATTGGACAGGTTTTTCGTCTTAGTAAAGGATCGCACAATAGTGCTCATCGAATACCTCACCGGGGGATTGAGCTCTAGGACTTCCGGATATATTACTTCAAGAGTGTAACCTTTAGATCATTACTGGGCTTGCATTGAATGGTTTACACATCTAATTTCAATTCATTCTCGATATCGGCCAATCATCTTCTAATTTCATAGGTGGGTAGCGGTTTGCGTTCTTCGTATCCACTTATCCGATTGATTCATTTTTTCCTTTCACTTTTGTATAAACACCATCATTACACGAAGACAGTGATCAGGTAGTTAGGGGTTCCTTAACATAGACCATGAACCCACAGACCCACAAGAGTATCTCAAGATTACTATTGAATGCTTCTATTTGTCTTTCCAAATGTTGAACATAGAATGTATATTTCGTGCAAACCATTATTTTATTCATTTATGCTTTCTTTTCTTTTTTTATATATATTTTTAGCTCCAATATCATATGATTGTAGAAATTGTGAACGATCTTCTGTTGTATGTTGAACCACAAAGAAAGGTAGTTTAATTATTCAGAAAATATGTGATGATACAGGAGTTTTTTTTAGATTGTTTAGTACATTATTCACATCGTGAACTGACTTCAACTAGACAGTACTTGAGAACCAGCATGTATTTCATTACTTTCTTATCTGAATATGAAACTTCTCAACACAGCTCACATTCATTAATCCCCTTCAAAGAAAAAGCCTGCGGTCTTCAGGGTTAATAATAAGCACTTACGTTTTCAAATCACTGAGTTGACTACCACATGCTTTTCAAAATATGTTGTCTAACTAAAATAAGTTCATGATGTAAGTTGTAACTGTTCTGTCTTGATAGACTGACAGATACCGGTTATCTTCTATGAGATAATGGCACTATATCATAAACTTCAGAGTTCATAAGTCTAAAATGGAGCACCTCACTAACGCGTTCTAGATCAGACCTTTCACAGTTAGATTAACGCCACGATGGAGCTAAAATGAACGAGATTGCCGTAAACCATTCTATTTTTCACTACACCTTAATTAATCTTTCAAATTCACTTGATATAACAATATATTGATCTTTGTAAATCGGTGAATTGCAGATTACGCCACTTTCAGATTTCTCAATTCATTTATTTACTTAGTCTGATTAATCCGATTAAATAATTTATTATTAGTGTGTGGGTATTTGTAAAGATTATGGAGTTTTCATAATTTTTAAATCGTGGACTGATCTTAGCTAAAACGTAATTTTAAACCTGGAAGCACTGAGCTGCCCTGTTTATTCTTAGTATATGACTCTAGCAGAGTGTATCTGGCGATCAAACCCAGGGCTTCCAGTTTCACTCGTGAATCTGTAACGTTCACACCATTAAGCCGACATCCAATGGCTTTGATGTTTGACGAGCTGATCTTAGATCATCACCGGAAACATGGAATTACTGGACTGCCGTTTCATCCTAGTATAACAATCTAATATACTTGTGAAAGCTGTTTTTTCAGCATAAATTCACTTAAAATTATCATTTTATTACAATTACCTTGTTTTTCAGGCTAAATTGGAACGTAATCGTTTGACATTTGGTTTAATGTCTGAATCACAAGTTCGTTTAGCTATATTACGTGATCAAGAAACTTTGCGTCGTTTGATCTCTGAACAACGTCAATTGGAACGTTATTTATGGTCATACGTTAGACAAACTATGCAAGAATTAGGCTTAAATGCCAACAATACATTAGTTAATCATTCATATCCTACAGCTTTGTATCACTCTCCTACTACTGACAGTAGTAACAATGTTACATCGCGAACATCAAATTTAACTCTGAAATTAGTCGATTGCATACAAAGTGCTCGGTGAGTGAGTAAATGAGTATTATGTTCTTTCATTGAGGAATGAGACTGAATAATATAAATTTTGATGTAATGTTGTAAACCACACAAATAATTATTTTGTAAACCGACAATTATTCGCTATCAGCTTTATCCATGTTATATGAATACGTTTTCTTTATTGCGGGAGTTTGATGCAGTGCGTCAATCAGAAATCATCAGATAATAAGTATACGTGACTAACCAAATAATTTCTTCACTTTCCTGTGAAATAGACATAATGCACTGATAGGCTTATTTACCTAAGTGATATATATAACTACTTAATTACCTACTCCTGTTATACACCTAGTGGAGTGTAGGCTGCCCATCAGGATTCTCCAACCAACTCAGTCCTCAGTTCTCCTTTCCAGTTGTTTCCATTTTCTATTCGTTCTTTTGATGTGTTCCTCCAGTTGCTGACGCAATGTCTTCTTGGACCTTTTTTAAGCCTTCAGGATTCCTAGTTAGGGTTTGCCTCGTGATGCAGTTTGATAATTTCTGCGATGCATGTCCTATTCACTTCCAGCGTCTTTTCTTAATTCCCTCTTTATTTGGAAGCTGGTTTGTTCTCTATCACAGTGGGTTGTTGTTGTTCATGTTCGGCCAACGGATATTGAGTATCTTGTGTAAACAACTGTTCATAAATATTTGTGCTTTTTTGATCGTTTTAATGGTTCTCGAAGTTTCAGCTTCCCTACTTTGTACTTAAGTTCAAAAGCAACAGAAATAAAATTACAAAAGTTAAAAAAAAACAAATGGAAGAAGTATGAAAAATAGTTCTTTTGAAGGAAATCTTAAACTGATGGCCAGGGCAGGGAAAGTGGTTGTACGAATCTCTTTTGGATGCAAAGGTCAGGTTTGTGAACATGGATTGCGATGGCTTCCGCAATGTGCAAGAGGCGCACTCGTGGCATATTAAATGGGATATTGTAGATAACCTTAAAAGCTTTATTCAATTCGACTTGATGACCTGTGTCAACCAAGTGAGAGAGAATAGAACTTTTAATCACTTTTACCTGTCCTTTGTTTAACCACGACGGATGATGTTCAGTAATGCGATGACGGACTTGCCGAATTGTACGCCCAATATAACTGGCTCCACAAGAGCAGTTGAAACGATAGATGCACATAGATTTGGCGAATTCAGGCAGTCTGTCTTTGTTGGCTGTTCTTATCTTGGGATAGTTGTAGAAGATTGCATTTAATCTGGCAGCATTAAATGTTTTTTGTACGGCTCTTCTTAGTTTCTGAGTCAAGATTTCTTCAATGGTGTCATTTATGAATTGTAGTTTGATGAATAGTACCTTCTTATGAACGGTGGGTATCTTTGTCCTTGTTTTCTTCACCATCATATGTTTGAAAAACTCAAATTATAAGATGTAAACAAATATAGTCGATCGCTTGATAATTAGGTTCGTTTTCGTCTTGGTTTTACAATTATAAAGTAAGATACAGTAAATTAGTGTAAAGTGGGCACTAAATTTAATAGACAGAAGAGTGTCTCATCTAAAATGCAGATAATATGAATTAATGAGAACTCAGTGAACATATTGTATTCAAGTTTAGATTTTTATCACTTAGGACTGATTAAACTGTCAAGTGGTTAACTATCTTACAACCAACACGATTTGGTTCCATTGGTAACGGCTTCTCACTAGAACTCTGAATATTTTCTTTAGAAACTAATCACTAGCTAATGAGCACATAACAGTTGTCAGTATGATGTTGTTAGGTCGTGGATGCACACTGTTGAGGAGTTCCATATCAGAAGGAAATGACCTTACTGACTTTAGGTAACCGTTTAAAACCAAGAAGCATTGGGTAGGTGTCATTCGTCGGTATTTATCTACGACCAGGGCAACATTAACAAAACGCTTTCTGACACTACGATTTCAGAGAAAAATTCTCAATGAGTTATTTTACCATTATTCAGTCTTTCTTCCAGTATTACATCCCTTGAAATTTATGATGAAAATTCATTTAGACACTCGGGATTTTTCGACTGTTTTGATGACTGCGTAAAACACATATTTTACCATAGTCTATATAATTAAATTAAGCAGTTATAATTAACACTGCAGTAATATCATAGAAAGAAAAGAAAAACTTTCCTATTCGAATGACCCTTATTTCTTCTAATGAAATGACCGGTTTCTATTGTTCATATTCTACTTTGATAGACCTAGGAAAAAGTGCAGTATTTGTCTGATCCCTTATAGTGATCGAATGTTATCAATCAAGTTTTAATCTAGTCTACTAGTCGACATAACTCTGACATCGAGTACACTATATTTTACTGTTATATAAATTGGGGATAAATCGGTAGGAAAATTTCATGATACGCGGCATATGTCAACTGGATGTTCCTGGGAAATCTCACAACTCTTTGATCGATAGAATTTAAATAGAATTATGGACTAGAAAAATACGGTATTTGATACTACCATTACTTCTGAGATATCAATCGCGGTCCAAATGAACGATTCAAGATTTCTTATATACCTTGTCGAGGAGTGCTCCCCGTCAAGTTTTACAACGAGTTTTTATTCATCATAAATATTATGTATACACATATATATCGTCTTGTTAATATTCTCATTTTTCTCCTCTCTCTCTCTTTTTTGTCAATGGAATGAATATCTATTCATTTTGCTTTTAAAAACAGTCAATTGGAAACTCAAATTAATCAATTAAAATCTCGTATTATTGATTTAAATGGTATACTATCACAGCGTTTAGGACATTATCAACAATTACAAATACAAATTCAACGTCGACATATACGTAAAGCAATGTCATTTCGACGTTATCATCCAACAAATAAATCATCAGCATGTTCATCATTATTATCATTTAATAATGAGACTTTATCATCAATTTCAAATCGTAATACTGTTAGTTTAGTACAAAAAACATGTAAGTGATTTTATTTATTTCAATATGTTGTAGTCTAACTTTTTCGAATCCAAAACACTGAACTTCATAATCATTAAATTCGCCCCACAATGTTGCCCATAAAAAGAATAAGCGAGTCATAAATAATGATGATACCATAAATATGAATGAATTTTCAGAATAGAACGTCGTGAATTAATTTTTAAAAGTTGTCACATTTAGTCCACGATCCCGTGGACTATTCTAATCTTTCTACCTATTCTACCATATATATAGATTTTCCCTTTGACAATTAATTGCGTGTAACCTCCATCATACTTTATACAAGTAAGTATACAGGCACATATATACTAGCATGCATATCTGTGTGAATAATGCATGAATGTACCTACATTATTGCAATCTTTTTATAAATCGATTCATCCTATACCTTCAATAGTTGGTTACGATTATTCACTACTTCTCGCAATATATACGACACTACTCTGTTCGAGAGAATAAGAAGTTCTAATATAAAATACCTGATAGTTTTAAATAATTAATCTTTCATTTAGTTATAAATAATGGGTACTTATACTTTTTACAATTTACCATAATCATTGTTGTGGTTAAAGGAAAAGACGTTGGATGATAGGCTTATTGTATCCTTCAGATCCGTCAAATTTTTGAATGATGATTTTCAAAACTACTCCTTCTCATATCATCTTATCTAGAACTAATGTATTTCTACTACCATTAATATTGTTATTAATTTTAAAACTCTAGCATTTGTCTGTATAATTTCATCTGACTTGGATGATATGATTTGATAACTTAAGCCAATACAGATTTGCATCAGGTCTTCACACACTGATCTTGATTGTAAGTAATTTGAATCGAAAAACACTAGGTTTGAGTCCCAATGTAAAAATAAAACCTATGAGGTATATACACCCATCGGACAAGTCCTAAGTAGTAAAAAACTTACATTCTATATTCCATCGCTAACTACAATCCGTTTATCATTATAGGGTTTAGGAGATTGTTGAGTTTGAATTGAGATCATAAATCGATCAATGTTAGACCTCTGTTGAAAATCTGGAAGCACTGGACGGTGGGATTGTGGATGCTCACTGCTGAAGAGTTCCGTACTAGGAAAAGACGTCATTCTAATGCTTTCAGGTTTTCAGTGGTGGTTTATCATTGATCGGTTCATGATCCTAGTTACAATCCATGTAGTTTATAAATTAAAATTTCTCTAACTATGTAATGTAAATGTTTATTCATCAAATAATTTATTACTTTACTCTTTTCTACTTGATGTTCATATATCCTTTCAGCGAATGATGATTTTAATCGAATTATTCAAACCAACAATATTGAATCGGAAACTTATATACAAAATAGAATAAATTTACATCGTGCATCTTCTATAGACTATTTGACTCATCCTATTGCGAACACTATGAATAATAATAATACTGAAACTGTCATATCAGAAAGTGGTAATAAGTCATTATTATCATCGTCATTTATGGATGGTGGTGATAGTAAACCAGCAGAAATTGTTCGACGAAGTGAGGTAAATCCGTCCCGTCGTTTTATTTTGTTTTACGTTTTATTACTACTCATAAGTAATGTAAGTTTGCACTTTGAAACTTTTGAGCCACTTTTTTTCCAACTGTAAAAATTACAATTAATAATTACTAATTGTGGATGTTCACTGCCGAGGCGTCCTACAATAGGACAAAACGGACGTCCAATGCTTCCAAGTTTTCCATGGTGGTTTAGCTTTAATTGACTCATGATCTCAACTATCGAAGTTACTACATTCATTACAAAACCCCTTCTGATATTATTTATTTGTTTATTTCTGACACTTGTAATTTAAAGCGTGTGTTGACACTTGAGATTTTAGCTTGGTATGGTTATTAGGAAAAAGAATAATTAGATAGCATTTCACAACAAAATTTATAGGCACAGATTTATATATCAATTAAGTATTTAGTGGGTTTGTTTAGTAGAACTATACATTATGTTTACATTTATTATAAAGTATCCAAAGCTGAGTGTTTGGTACAAATCATGATCATAGTGAATTCATATATGATCAAAGTTTAAGCTCCATATTTGCGTGTTGCGAGCGTGGGGCTGAAAATAACGAAAGACGGGATGTTGGAGGAGCAATTTTAAGTTGTTGATTAAGCGTAATTGTTTTCATAAGAACAAATTACGTTATACTCTCAATGAATACAGTTTAGATCCGGTTAAGGAGAAGCTTTAAACAAAACTTTCTGCCTTCCTAGAAAATTTAAACGCTCGGACTTAATAGTGACACTTAAGGATTTAAATGCTTGAATAAGTAGCTTAAACCAAGGTGAAAAACAATTGTATAGGTCTTACAGTGTTCCAGCTCAACAAACAGATAAAGACAATCAGCTACTAGAATTATTTTTAGACAACTGTGTTATTCTTAGTGAACACCTACTTTAAACATAACGAGAATCATCGTCTGACATGGCAACTCGTACTATCGACTGAACGATGGGCACAAATAGACCTTATGACTATTAATAAACGTTAGAGTTCCGATAGAAAACTGTCTTTCATTCGAGAGCATGTATCTTGACTCTGATCATGCTCTCGTACGAGGACTCATCTATAATGTCGAAAACATCAGTCTATGTAGTGGAAAGCATAATTGAATAGTCTCAGAATCATTTAATAGTTGCCTCATTTCCATCAAAAACAGCCTGAGACTCAAACAAGTTTAAGTTTGTTTGAACTGTGCTTACTCGTACGCTACTATCTATTGGCTACAAATAATTACTATGCCAAGTATTGGAAAACTCAAAGCCAAAGCTCTACAGTCCTTGGCGTTATTTTCTGATAATTCAAGATAGGAAGGTAAGTTCCTGGGTTTTCTGAATTAATGTAACATTTTATGACATTAGTTTTATTCCCAATACAACATTTTGATATCAGTTTTATTTTCAGTGTAACATTTTAGTCAATAAAATAAAGGTTTTATTTTTTGCAGTGTAATATTATTTTTTAAAGAAAAAAACATACAATAACATTGTTTTTAATCATTAGGTGTGTTTTGAGCATGCAAGATGGCGTATGACTGAAAATGATGGACAAATAGGTTTAGCTGATGTGGAACTACGTGGTTTTATTTATACAAAAACCCATCGTCAAGATGATTCTGGTTCACATCGTTTAGAATTAGGTTGGATACGTGTTTGTAGTTTGGCACCGAATTCATTTTATCGAGTAAGTGTTTATACATTTTAGTAAATTTATTTTTCGATTGTTTTACACGTGATATATAAGGACTGCTATTGATTTATTATTGAATAGTAGTAACTGTCACGTTTCCGTAATTTAATCTTAGCTAGATCAATGTTGAAAACCCTCAAGTACTGGACTGATGTTTCCTCCCTGTATGAGGCTTCTTAGTTGTGCTCATTCAGAACTCCACCACAAGGTACTGTACTCAAAGCCTCGTGTCTCACATACAAACAATTAACCTTTAGATTACTGAACTGCCATCCAGTTGTGTATATGTCTGATTTTATCGACTTGCGATATTACTCGATCATACCCCATTGCCTGTGGTAGATAAATGTATCATTCCCCACATTGTCGAACTCCATTGGTCACAAAAATCCAGTGCCTCCTGGTTATGATTAATTTTCTAGCTAACATAAGTTCATGATTTAAACTATGATAGATCTGCAATCTCCACAAAATCCTACACTGATCGCTATCATGTTTTTTAGTACTTTAAATACTTTCTCAATTACGTCTCGGTGTTGTGATTCTGTATTACATTCACTGTATATTAATGTTATTTACTGATCAGTAGAATGCAACACTGTTTCACAGCTCTCACTATTTGTTGAATGAAAGTTACTGCGCGATATGAGACTTGAGACTCAACAATCTCCCATAGTAATTATCTGATGTTCTCATATATTCTAGCATAGGGAAGGGTTTATTGCTTCCCAATATCGATAAGCAAGTGTTTGATTATTTTTCGTCCCATTTTTCCTACATATCCGTTAGTTTTTATCATGAACCGATCCTAGTTTGATAAATATTGTTTACCAGATCGCAGTGGACTTCCACTATCACTTCTCTATGAATGGAAATCAAAACATGGTCTTCCATAACCTTCAGACCACCATATAAACATCCAATTTTTTTTGAATTTCTAACTTTCATAAATTCTCATTATTACTCAATTATTATCCAATGTAATTGGTAGGTAACTGTCTCAGACGAGGTGACCGAACTCCACTACTCATGTTCATTTCACTAGAACACTGGGGATTGCCTCTCTATATTAGTCACTAGTGATTATCATTGGTGTAAGCAGTTTGTTGAATTTTATAGTTTATATCTCGTACCAACATTAGCTAAACAATCATTGGGGACCAAGAAGCAGTAATCCGAGGTTTCGTCCTAGTATGTGTGACTCCTCGGCAATGTTCATGCACTACCTTACGGTAAGCTGAATCGCAGGACTTTCAAGCGTCTAACCTTTAGACCACTGATTCAGCATCCAATGGTTAGTTCGTTTAACTTAAATTATCGATACTGTACGACACTAGTAGGCTGTTGCCTTACACTCTGTATGATCGAACTGCACTGATAACCGCCTTTATCTATCTGGTATTTTTTTTCTTGCGATCTATTTATTTTAAAGAAAGTGACCTCATCTTTACTGTATATGTACACTGATATTTCATCATTTATTTCTTTGCTAGGAAGTTTTAGCTCCTGATGTATCTGGTGGTCGTTATGCTGGTGGTCCAATTCTACGTATTGCTTGTTCTGATTTAGCTCCAGTTGGTGGAATATCTGTGAAAGAAGCGATGGAAATCAGTGTTGCACCAATTTTATTACAGGTAAGATGAAAAAACTTGCGTACTTTTATGTTTTATATAGTTTTTTTCTCTAGACACAAGGTATTCATTTTTGTCTGTTAAATAACAATCATAATAATAATAAAACAAGGTATGACATTTGTTCATAAATTCATGAACTGCCGAAAATAAATCGAACCGATGGGTTCAGACAAGCCGGTTGGGTCCTGAGCGATTGTTGTAACCAATGGTTTTATACATGGAGTAGGATACATGGCTTCAGAATTAGTCACAATAGCCCATATGAATTTCCTATTGACCTTGAGTGTTTTAAAATACTATGAATTCATTCTTTCTTATTTAGTCATATGGTTTATACGTTTTTTATAACTTTTGTATTTCTTTCGATCATTTTATCTCGCTGTTTTAATATGATGTACCAACTTGGACAGATTCTTACATGTTATGTCGGAAGAAAAGAGAAGAAATTGTGTGCTTGAGTTGTATTATGTCCTGTGGGATCTGTCTGTAATGACAGGCAAATAATTGTGTAATCTTTATCTCTCTTTCTCTCGTTTTAGGCCGTTATAGACTAGCTCATTTATATTCTCAATAGGGCAGGTGACCTATTAATTGACACAATCCAAGCGACGCACACTAACGAAAACGTTAATGCTTATTAGTCCTCGAGCTCCTTCTAACCCACTGGTTAATCAGAATATCCTGTTGGGAAGAAGATTGGTTCTTTGTTGAACTCGTTTCTCTATTCCCTCCTTTCAGTCCCAGAAGTAGTCAGCAAGCCAGTCTTCTATTATTGTACTCAATTCAAAGATGACTCAAACACCGTACAGTAATATACTTAGAATATCCGACAACACATCTAATGAATTACAATATGTACATAACGGTAGTAATAGAGAAATAAGTAATTAATCATTAATCTATAACAATACGCAATGTGACAACGATTTATGTGGGTCAAATGAAAGCTTAGAAAAAAGAGAATATAAAGATAGAGCAGTTTAAGCGTTTACTAATTATACAATAAAAATATAAATAATGTTTCATGTGATAGCTTCACAAGTTATACTTCCATATTACTCATCGTTTCATTATATCACAGATATGTTTTATGTAACAATAACATGCTTATATACTGGATATGAACGCAAAATAAACGATAAAATATGGTAGCCGATTGATGGAAATTAGCTTGCAGATCACTTATTCTCCAAATAGTCAAAACCTAACTCAAATCCTTCGATCTCTCGCTCGAACGCTTGACCTCCAGGCCTCTGAGTCGGCAAGCAACGGTATTAATGTCTAATTTCAATCAATCCACGATACTGCACGACCATCTTCCATTGTGTTTGCTAGGTAACTACTTCACATCTGATGCGGTTGAACTCCACTGACCAGGGCTCACTATAACTAGACATTGGTACCGTTTGATACCAGCTCAGTGGTCTGGAGGTTTGGCATTCGTGCGAGACAAAAGGTTCCACCCTTGAATCTGAAGTGAAGAATTGTGGATGCACACTGCTAAGGAACCCCATGCTATGACGAAACGGTTATCTAATCCTTTCGGGTTCTCAATGGTGGTCTTACATTTCAATGAAATTCAACAATCTCCAAAACCCTATACTGATAATTATCATTTACTCACTAGTGACTTGCTTAGAGAGCTAATTCTCGGAGTTCCAGTGAGAAGCCGCGACTAATGGGTTTCGATCATGTTGGTTTTGTTTGCTTGAATTTACACCACTGAGTGATGCCGTAGGGTTTGTTTAAAAAAATGTTTCATCGAATTGATTCATGACAATAATAACAATAACAGTAAAATAAAATCATTGACGATACTCTCAACAGATGAACCTCGTATTGATCGAAACATTGTTTTGCCATATAGTTTCACAATGACTATAATCCTTCCCTTATCTTTTATACCTATTTCTGCACATCTCTTCTTGTGTTTTGTAGATGAGTAAGCAGTTCTATAGGATTATGATGCCTTTCTTTTTTCCTGAAAAAACTGAAGATACTACTACTAATAATACTGTCACCGCTATCCCTGTTCATACTGTAAATGTAGCAAACCCAATAGGAGGTTAGTTTAAACGTTTCTGTTTTGCAATATATATATATATATATATATATATATATATATATATATATATATATATATATATATATATATATATATATATATAACCGGTTAGTTACAGCCTTATTCACATCGGAAATTTTTGGGTTGAAACAGGATTCGATCTCGAATAACGAATTGTTTTGATGCAGCATTAAACAGGCACGTAATACTAGGTGATATTCTAACTCATTGAGGTAATGGGTAGGTTAGAGAGAGAAGATAATGGTCTTCTGAGAATTTAAAAGATGCCATTAATCCACGAAGTTACTGCTGACTAGTGGTGTGAAATGTGTGTGGATATGTGTAGAATTCCCGGTAGAACAGTCCATTTGACTATTCCAGCCTATGGTTAAGTTTATTGAATGATTCATGTGGAAGTCGTTCACATTTTTGCAACTGAATTCATTCCTTATCGTACGCTAAATCTCGAGTTTTAATTTTGTTCTTGAAATTTCGAATTCTCTGGTGTTATCCATTGTTTTCAAACTACATTAATATCGTTTATTGTACGATATTTGCTATTATTATCGCCAAAATGTTTTGTGTTTCGTTTCTTATTTTTAATTACCTACGGATGAATTGTGGGGTATAGCAAATCGAGTCGGTACACATATTGTCAGATCCTCAATCTGTTGATGACTATTGATTTATATTGTTCATCTGTAAAATATATGCTTTTGGCTTATTTAATAACTCATTTATCAGGTACAGATTCTAGTACTTGACTTCAAGTCACATATCTAAATGTGGGAGTGGTTCAATTATACTTGACCCCCGAATGCCCTAGTGCGGCCGAGGATGGCGAAATTCCTCTCTCCCTCTCGAAGTTCTATCACATGACCACGCTTATTCAGCCACTGTCAGGGAAGTCCTACCTACTGCCTTCTCTCGGCGGGGGTGTTGTTTACGAAAACGGGAGGATGGTAAGAGATTATCCGGCTCTTTAATCGTGTTGGTAGATATGGAGTATCTACCTAAGGGAGTTGGAAAACTCTGATTTGAAGCCAATGGTGTACATGGGCTCCAGGATCCTGAGGGAAGAAATAGCGTTTGAACCTATTTTTGTTCACCGGCTACTATAGGACTGCATCTTTTAACGTTACTCCAGTGCCATGTGGATTTAACCTTTATGTCTAATACTCCGGATGTGGCCCTCTAAGAAGACCACCTGCTTCAGTGTGGGCACCCGGGTAGTATTCCGACCGTTACATAAATGGAATGATGAAGTGTATCGCATATGTGACCTGTATGTTTTTCGTTGCTTCAAGATCATAGTTTTCTAATTGAGCTGTTGCAGCTTCTGTTCCTTTTATATCCATCAGCTCGATTCAAGCACCAGACATCCGGTTTTCATCTTCACACTTCCATAAAAGCGCTCTCATCACATTAATGCAGTAAGTAGTACTTCTCTTTCAAAGGTTATAAACATATCGCCATATTAAAACATTTTGGGAAAATAGACTCATCCTACCCTTTACTATTTGAAAGCATACAACTCTAGTAGCTCAGTTTACGTATTTATTGGATAGACTGTGTATCATCTATTGATCGATACGCGTTTGTATATGTTCATTTTTTTCTCACAAAGATGTAATTTTTAGTAATGATTGAATCAATATCACAGTAGCTCATTAACCGAATTCATTGTTATTTTTAGACGGCATTAATTCATCTGCATTTACTAGTCATCCGTTTTTTATTCCACAAGACAATGTTGGGAGTAGTAGTGGTATTTGTAGTGATGCATTTCATTATCTGGATTCGAATCTCTCTACAAATCCAAATAATCTACGTAAGTCAAATTTTGTCTCGTTGGTATGATTTCTGATGACCTTTGAATGTTCACTAGCTCTAGTGTTCGATATGTAAGGAATTCGATTAATAACTTTTTCATATCCGTAATGCACTTCACCTTTTGGATAGACTATATTAATAACGGAACTGAATAGTTCAGCTTTACTGTTGCTGATGAGTTGTCTCAAATATTTTATTTTCTCAAGAACCAGTAGGAAAAGAAGATAATAGGACAAATCTCTCTACCCGAAGATTACATTAAGAAAAGGAATAGTCTACGTGATTAAATGAATAGACAGCTAGACGACAGACAATACAGTAACTTAGAAAATACAGTGTACGCCAAAATAAGGCCTTTAGAATAACAATTGGAATACATAGTCTCTACTTAAGTTACAATATGTTGGGCATAAGAGAAGATATGACAACAGTTTGTAGATCAAATAAAAGCTTATGATCAGGGAAATAAGGGAAACACGTGGCCTACCTATTAGTAAATACCCGTTGAAAATTAAGAGCAATAATATCCTGAAAGGTAGGCTACACTGTTTGTTGTTCTCCTTTATTCTTTTTTCAATAACATATTTTTTAAGAAACAGATTTTAACATAGACATTTTAGGGCTCTAATAAATTCCTCTGTTAATTCAATATTTAAACAGTGTAGAATATGATAACAATAACAAAAAAATTACCAATTAATTCACGATATAACACGACAATTATCCAATCATATTAATGACAATTGTTTTACTCCTGATATATATGTTTCGATTTCTAGTGGGTTCATTGTACTTTAGGGTTTCACACTAGGACAAATAATTGTCCAGTGCTTCCTAGTTTTCAACGATGTCCCAAGTGTAACCAGTCGTTGACGGATATAACCTAGGAGCCCTGTAAAATAGTTTACAGAAATGTATGTCTTATGGAGTGATAATTACCAGTGGTTTTACAGCCTACGAAGGGCTATACTAATATGCTATGTGGAATACAGCGATAAATCTGAAATAATCATTATCAATTCATGCACCGTGTTCGTGGTTGAAATCACCAATCGATCTTAGCTAAACTCTCATTAAGAACCTAGGTGCATTGGGTTGCCGTTTTTTCCTAATATAAGACTCCTTAATGGTCCCTATCCACAACAATAGAAGGTGGTTGTGCATTATTGTGAATTGATTAAAGTTAGACACATACATCACTCTATATCGGCTCAGTGATTTAAAGGTTGTGTACGTGCGCGATATTGAAGGGTACCAGGTTCGATCCCTTGTAATGAAGTTTACTGAGAAGTCCCATACTAGGATGAACTAACCGTTTAGTGCTTCCAGGTGTTCATTGGTTTAAATCATGAAATTCTATAATCATTATGGATCTTCTTATACTATTAATAATGATGCACTATTGTTTAGATAATTGATTTACATTTTTCTATCACTAACTTCAGTTTACTCATCAGAGAATATCGGTTTACCAAGTAAATCATGGCTACGACGTTATCTATCCCGATATTTACCTCATCGTTTAAAGAATGAGAACGAATCAGTACCATCAGTTTCATCATCGTTACCACAACCATTAAATGTTATCCATAAATCTCATCAATCAGATATTTTAGAAAATATATCTTCAGATTTATCTGTGCCGATTGTTGTTTCAACGGCGGCTACAACAGTAACACTTACTTCGTCGTTGTCGCCAACATCAATGTACATTCCATCAAATAATTTAACAATCGAAGCTGCTATATCTGGACGAAATTATTGTAGTGTTAATGATGATTGGAATGCATTGAGTAATAATGCAACGGGATCAGGGACAGAAACAACAGTAGCAACGTCGTCTTTTGCTACAACGTCCAAATTATTACAAATGATGAATATGCGCACGAAGTTACCCATAACCGATTATTTACGGAGCCAAAAGTAGGTTCAACAGGTTATTGAATATATATATATAGTGGCGTACTTCGTGGATTACCATTAAAAACCAGGAAGTGTCGGACAGCTGTCCCGCCGTGGTATGGGACTTTTCACCGTAACGTGTGCACAAAATCGTCAGGAATCGAGCTCTAGGCTTTTCAAATCTTACAGTAAACACTTATCTTTTAGGCCAATGAGACTGTCATCCACTGATTCATATGTTGAACTTTAATTTTTGATATCGCCCAACCATTTCTCAACGTTATTAGCGAATGAGTAACTGACTGATATTCGACATGGTTTAACTGTGAGAATTACTTCTCGATATTAGTCGATTGTTGAAACTTCGTTGAAATTATGGGTCGATCAGTGTTTTAGATCTCCATTAGAAACCTGTGTAAGGGCTGGTTCTATATCAAGCCACATTTTTGTCCTGTCACTCATTCACACATGTAGGCGCATATATGTGCATTTCTTATCTTACTCATCACATGTCTGTAACTTATTTTTGTCTGACTATAAACATCGATTCACACTTGGTTGAAAGGTGTTGGCTAACATGTCTTCTCCAATCCGTTTCGTTTCGCTCTATCCTCTGCGCTTCGTCTCTCTGATTGTCTATTAGGATCGTCGATTTTACCAAATATACGTAGTCAAAACTTCATTTTTGTATTTGACTTATTTTAATTCTGTTATTCACCAACGCGAATTAAATCGGTAATTATATATTAGGGTAACCAGGATGTATATTTCGACAGCAATCTTTCGATAATCTTCATAACCCAATACTGATAAGTACAGGTTTATTTACTCGTCTTATAAACTATATCGATGTTATGAGAACTAATAATACGCTACCTGGATGCTCAAATGTGAGTAGACTTAGCTAAGTTTTAAGCGATGACTTACTTGTTCAAAAAATAGTGATCTTACTAAATCACTGCTCCCACTGGCTTGACCAATACATGCATACAACACACCTACATACTACTTACATACATGCATACATAACATATAGACATATTGTATCACACATAATTCCTACTTTTTTCCATATTTTGTTTCCAAATTATAGCGAATTGGAATTTCCCAATCTTTTCCACACGAATGAATATGACGTTAAGTCATCATTATCACATAATCATAAACCTAATGAATGTTTTTCAATACCATTGACACATTATTCAAATTATAACGATACTACTACTGATAATTTTATCATGTTAATGCAACAACCATCGATATGTTTACAACAATTATTACCTGTAAACAATATATGCACATATTGTAAATCGATTCATTCAACCTCTAGTAATCATCTTCATTCTTTGAATATGTCATGGTATAATCCAATGAATTATGGATCTTTACCAACGGATCAAATAACATCAGTTAATCAAATCGCTATGCATCATTCAAAACATAATATTAACAACACAAATATACCATTGAATCCAGTCGATGTGATGCAGGTTAGTTTTTTTGTTCGTTTAATAGAAAAACCTATTAATTTTTATTTTTTCGATTGCTTGATGTTCAGACTTTGGCAAGTTTTTGTCTAGCCTGAATGTGTGTTATGGTGTGAGATAGGAGTATGAAAAGCAGTGTATGAAAGAATTCGGAAGAGAAAATAACAAGAGAAATAATGACCCGACAACTCAGTAAACATAGTGATGAATCAAGGAAATTGTTTTAGCAACAGTCTCTTTTGTTTAATCTAAACATTGTACTAGCTTGGAGCTTTTTAGTGTCTCCATTAAAAAATATTAACAACAAGTATACATTTTATTAAGTTTAGCCTGAAATAGTTTATTGAGATTGATGTGTTCTTCAGTTTATTTAAAACAATTTTCATCACGAACTGAGATTTTACTACATTCGTATTTATTATTGTTAAGGATGCTAGATCCCCAGATATCACTTGGTAATTTTTTTTAGTTTTGTTATCTTATTATGGAAATTTGAATTTCTCATTTTGGCGCCAAAGCTTACACTTTTACCTTCATCTTGTGTTCCCCACCTGGAAAGACCTTAAATATCATTGGTTCGTTTGTTATTTTAGTAAACGATTTTGTAACGTTGTTTCAAGGACATTTTTGTATTATTTATATACTCATGAGTTGTGTATTATTATTATAATTTTAACACATAGATATTGGTACAAGGAGGCACCAAATACATATGCGCCACACAAATCTCATTCGATATGTGTGAGGGCTGTAATACTGCCCAGGTGCCCAAACCGGAGCAGGTGGTTTTCTTAGGGAGCCACTCCTCGAGCCTTCGACCTGAAGGTCTGATCCACAAGGCAGTGGAGTATCGTCAGGAGATGCAGTCCCAAGGAAGCCGGTGACCAACAATTGGTTCATACGCCATTTGTTCCTTCTGGATACTGGAGCCCATGTGCACCATTGGTTTGGAATCCTGTTAAAGCGCCGGACATTCGGTTTTCGTCCTCTCATTTTCGTAAACAGCACCCTCGCCACGAGAAGGCAGTGAATAGGACTTCCCTGGCAGAGGCTATATAAGCGTGGCCATGTGAGAGCATTTCGAGAAGGAGAGAGGACTCTCCCCACTCTCGGCAGTACCAGGGCATTTGGGGGCTTAGTTTATTCTGTTATTGTGTTACTGGCCTTTATTCCGTTCTCCAATCCTAGGTGGTATCTTAATCCTTTGAGCATAGCAATTATTTACGAACTCAATTTAATTAGTGATTATATGTATTTTTTCAATGGTTTTACGCAAATGACTAAATAGCCATCCTTTCATATAATAATTTAAATAAAGATAGATGTACAGTATCCTTGACTACGTGAATAAATTGATTACTCATAGTATCCTATTCTCGTATTTGCATTTCTCAATACAATATAACCTTAAAGATGATCTGTGGATAATATCATTCTGAAATTATTTGATCTAACGAATTCTTAATGCACCGATCAGAATAATTTATGATAAATTGATTGGTAGTTCTAAATTAACCATAACCTATTTATACAATCAAGATTGTTTGTAATAGTTATAAACACAAATAATGCTGTTTAATTGTTGCCTTTTTAAAAAACACTTTCTTTTCTGTGTTGTCTTTCTTTGTATATGTGTACGTGTTGACTAATACTAGGAAAGAGCTCGTCAAAACAAAGTATTTCTATACATTAAAATTCCTGGTTTTCCAATACGATTAAGTTATAAGGTTAGTTTTGTTTGATTATACCTTTGTGTTATTATTCAATTAAATTTATGTGTACATATATATAAAAAAAGAGAAAGTGTAGTCAACAATTTGACTTTCTATGATTAGAAGCTGTTTTTAATTACTAGAAAAGACATAAAATGAAACTATACAGTTTCTGACTAATAGTTTGATTTGTTGAAAACTAAATTGCATTGTTTAACATTGACTTAATCACTTTTTAATGCATCCTCGTGTATTCATTAAACCAACATTAGTTCTAAATGTAAATCATTATCTTTAAAAATAGTCGAATTGCTTTTGATTAGGAAAGTTTGAAAAAGATAGAAGCCTTTACATTATTTGGGCAGCATCATTGATAAACAAGGAGGATCTGATACCTATATGAAAACATGTATTAACAAAACAAGGATAGCATTCCTATGAATGAAGAATATCTGGACGTTAAAAACAGCTGACAGCCAACATCAAAGTCAGAATTTTTAACACTCATATCAAAACAGTCCTATTGTACAGAACTTATACTTGGAAAACCATCAACAACCTGCTGTGGCAGAAAATGAACCAGCTTCCAGCTGAGGAGGGAATTAGGAAAAAACTAACTGGTTAATGCGCAGTCAGCCGCAAAGTAAAACCCGGTACGTGCATATTGACACGCCCCATTAGCAAAGGGAGAATTATCGGGGGAAATCCCATATTAGTGGAGGTAGTAACAGTATGAGAGATGATTGAAAAGACTAATCATTGAAGATACGATTCGAGAATAAAATATAACCTAGTGAAGTAAAAATAAATTAATGAGAAATTCAGAAGCTCAGGATTTGGAGGAAAACAAAGAATAGATGCACCTGAGCCATTGCAAGCTATTTGAGGCTATATCGTTCAAAGTCTCCAACCCTTGGTTACGATAATCACGCGAACTCCAAATAGGTAATCTACATCTACCTATATAGCTCCGTCTACTTGCCAATGACGGTGCCACATTTTCGTTTGACCGCCTTTAGATTTCTTCTAGTCTACTTTTTTACTAGATAACATCACTTGTTGAGGTGGACCGTGGTATGGCATTCGTAATACATATCCAAACCACCTCATTTAATGAAGATTTACTACCTTTTCAATCATTTTGCCACCTTTATTTAGTACCGTGTTCCTAACATAGCTATTGCTTACTCGGTGGGCTTAAGTCCCCGAATGAGCCAGATTGTTATATCTTGTGACATTAATCAAAATATTCTGCATTGAATTTATCAATTGGAATCCCGATTCTAATTTTTTTTTCTATCCCTCATCTACTATTGCGTCTATAGCCTAGCATTCCAGACTTGGTCAATTATATGTCCTGTCTTGCGTAGTTGAACTGTAGCTGACTTAAGCTACACTCTTGTTAGTTCGCTTGTCTCAAAGCCTTTTCCTAACTCCACCCTCTATTGTTGTACTTAATTCAATTGTGACAATATTTTATTCCACATAATTACAACCAGTCGCTTTCAGTTAGTTTGACATAGAAATTAATAAAAGGTGGTCAGTAAGTGACGTGGCTGTTCGTTCACATTTAGTGACCAGTCACATTTCACTCTCATTGCCACACATCAGTGGAATAAAGTTTTTGAGGATCTATCTTGTAGTATATTATTATTGCTCATAAGATTTTAGTTTTATCAAAGGAGTTTTACTACTGATGCTCTCCCCTCTATGTGTGTAAAATCTACTCCTGATTAGGACTGTCTAGAAAATAGGATAAAAAGTGTTTTCAAAGTATACCTTTTATATTTAAAATCATGAACCGATAGGAATTAGGAAATCACTGAAAGTCTGGAAATACTAGTCCTAGTACGGGACACCTCAGTAGTAGACATCCATGACCCTGAAACCAGGAACCTAACTTAAGACCTTCGATCTCGCACTTTAATCTTTAATCTTTAGACCACTAAGCCCGGGACCTAGTGGTGTACAAGTCTAATTTCTGTCAATGTATGATTTTGTCCGACCATCTTCCATTTTCTATAATGGGTACCTTTCTGGCATCCGACATAGCCAGACTCCATTTGTTACAGCTTTTCTTTTTAGAAAATCTCCATTTTATTTTTTTTATAATCTTTTTAAGGGTGAAAAACAAAAAAATATCACTGATGTAACACGTTTTGAATTGTTTATTCCAACACTGGAATATCATAATTGTGTTTGGACGTGGTTAGATTTTGTGATGGAAGTAAAAACGCGTATACGTAAACAACTTGTTCGTGAAGTAAGTTATATTTCAATTCATTTTCACTTTAATAATGGATTTTTGTCCAAAGAAAATCTTCTTTTAAAAGTTGTCAATTAAAAGCAATGTGAATAGTTTAGTATGAATGTGTATTTTTTGAAATAGTTAATCACCTTTACAATAAGCAGTTAAATATTGAAATCATCCAATATAGATTTCTAACTTAATTGATTGCTTTTAATGAAAGTGTTGAATTCGGTCATTGTTTAAATTGATTTAATTACGGAATTCTCATTATCATTCTAGACAACTTCATCAGTACGCGTGCTATAATGTTGAGATGAAGTAAATGTTAATGATCTTATTTCGAACAATAATGAATACTTCAATAATCAATCATCCTCTAGGTTAGAGAATTCAATAACTCTGAAAAAGATTAGAGATATTGGTGGAGTTTTATTCTCTGAATTAGATAGTTTGGTCATGGACCTTTCATTGTTATTCTGAACGACATCACTAGCACAAACTTCAGGTAAAAGAATTGACATCATAATTAAGACAACAGAGAATGTTTATTGTTCAAGGAATGAATAGAACTAGAGAAGAAGAAATATATGAAATAAAATTAAAACGGTGAATACAACTGGATAATTGAAACTAGATGTTGTTAATCAACTATATAAAACGTATTGCTACTATGTATAAGTGTACTTACCAGTGAACTAACAGATGAATACCTTGTCTTTGATAAACTACAAAGTTAAAAATTGTAATTCTGTTCTCAACCTACTTCTTTTGTCAGTAACCAGTTATAACATTCTTCATTCTTATACACGTGTAATGAAGCCTAAATTCGTATCTATAAACTTATATGTTGGTTAAGTGTAATGTTACATTTATTTTATTTTTTTTTTGAATATTATTTGAATAGTTAAGTCTCCATGGACATATATGCATCCGTTGTTACTAGCAATGGAATCCGTGACTTATCTTTCATCCTACTTACAACACGTCATCTGGCGATGTATTTTGCTCATAATGCTGTTATTCACACACAAACTCTAACATAATATCTTTTGTCATCAAAAATATCAAAACTTTTGATATAACTTTGTATCGAGATAGTCATAAGTCACTTAGAACCTGCAACTTTTGTGCATCTGTTTGGGTTACCACACTATATTAAAATGGCAAATTTAAATTATCAAGACAAATACCAGAACAACAGAAGTAGTGATAGGTGTGGTGTATGCTACGTATGTCTATCGACATAACTAGTATATAACACCAATCAGAAGTGGAATGACTGTCAGCAGAAGGTTGAGAAGAACGGATTGAATAGAAGTGGAATGTAAATAGGGTGTAATTGTAACTGCAATGAAGGAATGATGTAATTTGAGACGATTGATGAAAGATTTGCGAATAAAGTATTTAATGTATGATTTTTCAGATTAATATTTCCCACGTAAGTTCTCGTTCACTACAATAGTAATATTAGTTAGGTATTGACGATATTATGCGAGAAGAAAGTATGATTTTTAGGATAAAAAGAGTATATGATAGTTTCGAAACTTTGTACCTAAAGGTGGGCAAAGAATGATTGTATTTACGCTATTGGGGTTGATTTTTTGCCTTGTCATCCAACATTCCCAACCACTGATTTTGATGATTGCCAGAACCTCAAGCAGATAGTTTTTACTTATTGACATGAATCAGTCCGGAAGTTCTTAACGTTTAAGAATGATACCAAGTTCTAGTTTATTCATTTCTAGCTTTCTTCCAGCCTCCATCATTAAACATCTTACATCGAGGTTCCAGACACTTCATTCGATGAAGATTTATTACCTTATCAACCGATTAACCATTTTTATCTAGTGCCCTATCTTTAGCCCCAATACTTTCCACTTGATCTTTACAGCATTCTTAATGAATACCTTCAAAGCAGCCCTGTCTCTAAGTATCTGTTCTCATTAGCTCATAAACAGGGTTCAATAACTCCAGGTGAAGTTCAGTCTTTCCCCTGAAAAATCAAGCACTAGTCGCTTACAAATATTTTCTGTTTTTAATGACCACATCTCAGACTCAAAACAGAACTACTGCTCAATGAACTTATGCATTCATTGGCAGATGAACATACCGCCTACGCTACAATCGATCCAATTTCTCAATCCATTCTGTCAAAAGAGGCTATTGAACTTCAATTCTAAGTAAAAATAACAAAGAGGGATTACTAACTCTTAATAATATCATTTTTTGTTTGTTTTTAACTATGTATGTAGGTGATAAAGAAAAAACTTACACCTCGTCGACGTTTACCACTTCTACGTATCTCTGGTACCAGTAAAAGCAATACTGATAATAATAGTAATATTCCTGCTAGTAGTACTACTGATTCTAAACCACACGAGTTAACAACGTCAAATATTCTGTTATCATCTGTTAACCGGCTGAGTTCACTGACTCCTTCCGCTGTTACTAGCGGTCGTGCTGATTCAACGATGCATTCACCTGATGTCGATGATGATGATGACCTAGTCGATCCAACAACTGTTGCTGCACAAGAAGAGAAAGCTCAACGTGATTTGGAAATGATATTAGGTCGTCATGCTCAAATAGTAAGTTATTATTATTATTATGAGGAGTAGTGTGTGTGTGTATAAATATATGTACCCTATAGTAGCTTCTATGCTATTATATTCCGATGTGGTTTATTTTCGCTTTTCGATAGAATTAATTAACTAATCAATCATTTTTACCTTCCTGATAATTTTATTCCTTTCTCAGGAAATCGTTACCTGCAATGCACATACTTCTTATATTCATGTCCTTGTAATTCTACGCCTATATGTTTCATGTGTATGGATGTGTTGTGTTTGTTTGTTTTTGTGTGTGTGTGTGTGGATACGCTTTGTTGATGAATTCCAACAAGAATGAAAATCCCATGTATAATTGGTCTGTATACTTAAAATTCAATCACGTTATCAGTTTCATGGAGCTTATTTATTACTAGGCATCGTTGAAGTTGTTAATTTGATATCGGTATATGCATAAATCATAATATTACATATATTTCTATCGTCGAACATTTAGTTCAGTCATTAAGAAGAAATCTTATGGTTCGAATGTTCAATTTTATTTATTTTAAAATGTAACTCTGATCCTTAACCCAATCTACCAGTCTGCAGTAAGTCAGTACCTTGCCTACCACTCCATACAACATAGCTTTTTATGAGAATTCTTCGCAATTCATAGGGAAATTTATCAACCATGATCCCATGATCACTATCAACAAATAGTGATCTTGTTAACCAAGATGTGCTGATATATTCACTTTCAAGTTGAGAATATGGAGGGAGAATATTTTTCTCGGTATCTAAATTTGGAATTGGATTAGTACTCGTTTTCGCGGTCTGAAAACATGACCTCAGAGTCTAAAAGAAGGTTGCTCAAAGCCGGTCACTTACAACTTTCTATTAAAAATTTTTTGATAAATTGTTTAGCTATTTTTTAGACCTTGCCGCTGGCAAATTGAGTTGCAGGAAAGGAGTTGTTGAGGATTCTTGTTATTAAAAATCTCGCAAACAATATCAATCAGAGAACATCAAAATTATTAGTTTATTATCCCGATACATATCTGAACAGTTCTCCCCATTTCTTCATCATGATGCAAACTACTTTTCTTTATTATTTATCTTTTTTTACTATTTATCAAGATGTCAGTAGTGTAAAATATTAGTAGAAAATAAATCACCCCAATGTTTCTCCTACTTTTTCAGCAACCTAACAAGACGGGCAAACGAAAACGTTTCAAATCGAAACCATTCTAATTATATTTTCTCTTATTGAAATAGTAACTTCATTTGGTTTGTTTTTATGATGGATGGTTTGTATTTTTCCATGATTGCTTGGTATTAACAATTAAGTTGATGGTTAGACTTTACCAAAATTCTATGTATCTAAAATGTGCACAATCTTTCTTTTATCACCAAGTAAAGTCATTTTTATCTTCATTTTAATTATATATATATATACCTGCAATATATATATATATATATATATATATATATATATATATATATATATAATTTGTACAGTTTTACTAATGGGCATTCCCATATGTATTACGTAATATTTGTTGGTAACACGTTTACCAATAATACTGCTATTGTGATAATATATTCAATTTTAAATAAATATAATAAACACAGAATCGCTTTGATGTTTTCATAACTACAAAATATTACAATGATTCAAATTGACGATGCTGTTTGACCTGATAGAGATATGTCTTCAGTTGAGACAGTAAGCGAACATAAAATAATAAATGCAAGTAAAATAGAGAAAATAATTTAATATGATGTGGAATAAATGGAAAGATATCACGCCACCTTACAACTGTTCCTTCTATCTATTATATATGAGATGCATAAATTCCAATAGATAATATTCTGTTGTATTTTTCAACGTCTTTACTGTCGTTTTTTTTAAATTTCTGCATTATTCAGTATTTCAATAATTTGTTTGCTATAAGCAGTGTACATTCAACATCCATATTTATTTAACAAGCATTGAGTTTTAATGTTAACATTGATGTAAAGATGTAGATTGGTTCTAAATATGATAAACTACGTGTGGCGGCAGATGGTTTAAAGAATATGACTGAACTTTTTATTTTTTAATTTCATACTACTTTAATAGTAATATAAGTAGTAATGTTGACATGGTTAAATATTCAAAGAGCTGACATGTAAAAGTATTTGTTACTAGGTTAATTCGTTGACATTTCGTGTTAAGCTTGTTCTCTGTCCTTGTTCTCTTCTCATCAATCCTTTTTATGTATCGTTTTATACTACTTATAAGTGTTCAGTAAACAGTTTTGTTCTTAGCGATTTCTACGATTATGTTGTAACTCAAGTTTGTCGTGTGATATTCTTAAATAATTACATATAACATTTATTGTATTCATCATTATAATTCCTTACTCTCAATCTTCATAGCAGTCATTCTCAGTTTTTTTTAATAGTTGTTTACTCTGTTTTTAAACGCAACGGTTTACATAATTGTTTGCTCCTGGTTCCATTTTTGCTTATTGATAAACTGTTATCAAATTTAGATACGACTATCAACTGTCGTTTGCACTATCATATGTCATAATTATTCTTTATGTTATTAGTGCAGAAAATTGTTTTTCTTCCAGACTTACAAATACACTTATTGCTACAGATGCCTCATAAATTGAGTTTTGTCAGTAATTTATGTTTTATTCATTCCTCAATGGAGAACCGTTTTTCAAACTTCATTTTCACTTATATCTCAATTATATGATTTAAATATTTCGATAAATTTAACACTTATCATAAATAATTAGTCATTTTAAATTGGTTTATTCAAGTAGCTTCCTTATAACAACAAAAAATTGTCCTAACCGAATTATTTGAAAGAAGAAGAAGAAGAAAAAAAACATTACAATTTTATTGATTGAAAACTACATTAGAAATGTTTTTTTTTACTTTTCCATTATTAGTAAGATACTGGATAGAATAAATGAATGACATGTGTTCAAGAAAGAAAATAAAAAAGGAGCAATTCGTATAGAGGGAATATTTATTTCCCTAAAATTTTAGGCGCCAACAAATGTTTAAACTGTAAATAGCTTTATAAGTATTCATGGTGTGTCTATCATTTTTGTATATATATATTTTTTTGATGAATATGTTGTATACAACAAGTTAACAGATAAATATGCATAAAAACTCCACCCGAATTACGTTACTATTATTATTATAATGATGATGATTACTATAATTTGCATGTGTATATTCATGTAGAGTATCCTTAGTGTTTTGATAATAGTTTATTTTTCACATATATATATACCCCTTCATTGATTATTATACTTGTTTCTCAGTTGTTCATTTTATGACAGAGTATCATAAACATTAGTTATATATATATATACTTTTAGAGTAGAAATAAAACTGATGGGATATTTTGGAAACGGGTTTTATTTATTAACAACACTATAACATGGAATAGTAAATAAACTGTAAAGTTTGTAATGGAATATTTTCAATTTTATTCTTTATATATCACTCGTTCTACTAATCGTTATTAGATAACTTTTAACAGTGTATAACTTGTAGAAGACATTACTGTTAAGATGTGCAGAAAAATATACCAATAGTTATCATGTTAAGTCTAATGTTGTCCTTGGACGCTAAATGTACATTCCCTCCCTATTGGTCGATATTTACTTCACTTGTTTAATATTGTGTAAATGTTGTTTTCTATTTTTATGGTACGATGTGGTATGTTTGGTTAGTATATAAATAGAGTGTGTTTGAAATATAATGATTCATATTTCAGAGGCTGTGACTTGCGTTCTGGACTCAACTGGCTGGGATAAACAGGGAAGCAGGGCCAATCAGGACACTAGATCGTTCGTACATATTTACGTGTCACTGTAACTGATCAATAAAACACTGCTTATCAAAACCTGCAGTCACACCCGTTACAACAATTACAAAGTTATGATTACAGTTTATAATGGTATGGCATAAATCAAAAGACCATCAAGCAAAGGAGTTTGATTACGATTAAAAGTATCAATACAAATGAATAATACTCAATAAGAAAATATATAAGATCGAATGAATAAGTCATCGAGCGATTTTATTGACGAATATAACAATCATTATTAAATTGATTGAACAATAGGCTTACAAACGGAGGTATAGGTGAGAATGTTGAAGTTTCTATATATGTAACTTTGCCAAGAATTGAATCCATAAAATTTCGATTATGCATTCAATAAACTTCTTGTACAATATTATGTGACCATCATTGTTGATGTGTTGAATGATACCAGTATGATTGTCGATATAGTTTAAATCTGTCAATTGTCACTTGGTACTAGAAATTTAGGAAGTTGTCTCGAAAAATTAATCAAACTGGTAAGTACATGGTTATCATTGTTCCGATTTCATTTGAAGATTAGTTTGATCTTCAAACGATTGTCATCTACAGCTAACCTTAATGTTTCTAGATAAAATAAGGACTGCATTTGATTAGTCTCTGTCAGCATATATGTATCCTGAGTCGATTGCTTTGATATTGTCCTTCTGGTTACAAATTTTTAATATATTTAATCTGTGATTAGTAATGTAACTCGAAACCTTTATTTTATTTAGAACTAGTCGTATGGATGGAAATGCTTCACAGTGTTGAAGTTTGCATTGAAAGACTCGAACTCAGTACTCAATGAGTCTCAAATAGAAACAAACTTGCTTCCTACATTCTAATGCTAGTCACAATTCAATTATACTGGAAATCAAAACTTTCCTTTTAAACTACGTAAACATAACAAGAAAAATAGTGAATGATGAAAGAATTCTAATAATTCTTTGCTCACTATCGATTTATCCTCCGATCGCAAAGTGAAATCCATGATCTATGTGTTATAACTTGTGATCCTGTGTGCCCTGTTTATTGTATAACTCAACGATACCGCCTATTAGAGAGCAGCGAATTATCGATCGAACCAGTGACGCATAAAACACGTGTGAGCAACCTAGAGCCTTGATTGGTCCTGCTCCCCTGTCTAGCCCAGCCAGTTGAGTCCAGAATACCAATCTCAGCCTCTGCGATATGAATCACTTATTTCAAACATACTCGGTCTATATACCAATCAAACAGACCACAACGTACCATAAAATAGAAAATAACATTCGTACAATATTTGGCCAAATGTGGCTGTGAATGACAGGCCATAACTCAAGTATGGTAAATCGTATAGTAATAGTCTATGGGTCAAATTAAAGCTTATAATAAGAGCAACATGAATATGATTAGTTTAGTTACATAACAATTATACGATAAAAATATACTCATAGCATTGGTTCATAAATGGATCCCAAGAATTACCATTCATTATTTTTATTGGGATATAACACTATGTAACATGGTTAAGCAGGTTACAAATAAAATAGGAATTCATTAATAATATTGGATTATTCCAGCGTACTATTATGACAAATTGTCTGAAAGTTTTGGATTAACAGATTCTGACTTATTAACTTATCGTTGATTTATTGTGCCTGTTTAAAAGTATTTGGTACGGCCGAGAATGGGGAGAGTCCGCTCTCCCTCTCGAAATGCTCTCACACGGCCACGCATATATAGCCTCTGCCAGGGAAGTCCCACTCACTGCCTTCTCGTGGCGGGGGTATTGTTTACGAAACTGAGAGGATGAAAAACGGACGTTCAGCGCTTTAACCGGGTTGGTGGACATGAAGAGTCCACTTAGGGGAGTTGACAAACCCTGATTGCTTCAGTATCCTAAAGGAACAAATGGCGTATGAACCAATCGTTGGTCACTAGCTACCATGGAACTGCACCTCCTTACGTTGCTCCACCGCCTTTTGGATCAGACCTTCAGGTCGAAGACTCTGGGTGTGGCCCCCTGAGAAAACCACATTCGGTTTGAGCACCCGGTCAGTATCACAGCCCTCATACATATCAAATGAGATTCTTGTAGCGTATATGTATTTGGTGCCTCCTTCTACCAATATCTATGTGTTAAAATAAATGCCAGGAAAAAACATATAGGTTCTTGATAAGTCGTGTGGATTGAACGCTACATTAGTTTCCTAAGCTATTCCGGTAACCCGCAGTCTAGAACTACACAGTGACTTGAACACCAGAGAGAAGGCTCAAGTATGAGAGAAAATACTTTATTCCAAGGTTCATTTTTGTACAGAAAATCATGGGTATTTATAGATGTTGGCGTCTGTTAAATCAACATCATTTTTCAGCCAATCCGATAACGACATATTATGCTACCGACAAATAGTAGCACGCCACGCTGGAATTCTCGAACGTTCCATCATACTCTGAATTGCTAGGACCCTTCGGCTCCTTTTGTGCCTCTGGAGGCTCCGTTGAAGTTCTCCGGAAGCCGACTCAACAGTTCTTTTATATTGTTGAGTATCATACATTATTACTAATAAT